TAACTTTGTTTTGAGCATAGAAAAGATATCTATGTGGTCTTGGATGCGCCAGTAAAATTTCAAATGATATATCTATGCATTGACATCATTCATTGTCTTTCTCTAGACATTCCCTTAGACAGTCTCCAGATAGCTTTTGGTTACTGTAATGATATATATATACGACAATAACATAGAACAAGCTTCAAATGGACAACCCTTCATCTTTCAGGGCCTTTCAAGCAACCTTTGATCGTTGTGTGTTTTAGTCAATACTATTCCTTGTTTAATTAAGGACTTTTTGGCCGTTTGAATGGGGTTTTTCTTGTAGACTGTTGATAGACAGAACTAACGTTACAATCTATTGAATGGCTAACAGATCCATTGATTCCTATCAGTCAATGGAGTTGCATTTCAAACCTTTTCTAGGGTTAGCCTCCTAGTTCCTGATAGGCCACTATAACTCTTTTGCCTGACAATCTCTACTCAATTTCCAAAGGTTTTCTTCCCCCTTCTTTAACAAAATCTTACAATACATATTACTTGCAAATTTTCAATACAATGTTACCCATGTTCATTTCCTTCTTACCCCTAGGCCAGTTAGACACAGGGGCATCACTTCATACTTTTTGTTGGGAGGGGGAGGGGGTAGCTGCATAATTGCTCTGCAGAAAAAATTTTGCCCTTGCGAAAGTTGAAAATGTGGGGAACTGGCCCTCGCTTATTGTGTCCAAAAGTTCCCGGATGTAATGCCTAACCTTGGGAGGAAGTGCAAAAGAAATTTTTTAATGAGTGAGGCAACCCTTCATCTTAAAGTCAAATAGCATGCGTTTATTTTTTACAACACACTTTTGATATACACACTAGCTCGCACTGATTTCGTTACCCTAGATGTAAAGTCTCTATACACAAATATTTCTCAATATGAGGGCATCAAAGCTTCCCTCAATGCCAATCAATCAAAAACCATTATGTGGAAACTACGCCGCTGGATAGAAAATACAACAAAGGGTGATATTCATTCCCAAACATAGTTATACTGCCTTTACACTCTCTTTGGTATAAGGAAAATTTTGTCAGAACATGAGCCTCATAATTGGTCAAAAGTTAAAAACAAATTAAGAACAAACTAAGGCTGAGCTACTGTAAAATGTAACTTTAAACAATGTTTCATCTAAAAAACAAAGAGTTTTTTTTGCCATCTAGGGGTGCTTCTTCGGTGAACTTTCAAATTTTTTGCCAAATAAAGGATGTCTTACTCACTTTGATGGCCTATGAGGGTTGAGCACTTCCCTAGAGCGCAATAACTAGCAACTGCACTGCTTACATCCTAATAATTTAAGAACAAATTAAGAACAATCCAGCCCCAGGTTTTCGAAAAAAATAAAGAACAACCAGCCTGAACTTCAATTTACTAGTTCTTATAAAAAAATACTTTAATAAATTTATTTCTCCTTAGTTTCACTGCAAGCGGTGCTTGTCTTTTTGCATGGTTTTTAAAGTTAGACACAAATTTTGACCAAAGCTGTTACACTGAAGTGAAAGGAAATCAGAATCTATTTAGAAATCTATTCAATCCAGCCCAAGCTCACACTGGAAATTCCTATTTCGTGTCATTGGTAGTCAGTCTGTATCACTTCACTTTTGGAAGAAACAAATTCCAAGCATAACACACTTTCTTGATACAGTTATATGATAAAACAACAAAACAGATACGTTGGTAGAAAACGTTTGCCCTGCAAATCAGCTTTGCCCTGCGAGAAGGTACTATTTTCGTGGCTGGGGGGGAAGGGGGGAACCACCGCCTCCCCAATACCACCCTCAAGTGAAGCCCCTGATTAGACCATTTCCCTGCGACTCCAGTTAGACAAGTTTAGTAGTCTTATTATATGTAAAAATTTACTTCGATATTTAATGCAACATCATCCTAAGCAGTTATTGCACTTGGTAATCAACCTGTATTTTGGTATTTTAACATTTTTATCATCGACATAATTTTCACAAGGGCTTAATATTTCATTAGTGTTGCCGTGGGAGTAGTTAACTCGACTGATGTGGTAATTGGGCGTGTCCATTAGACAGGAGTCTATCTGGCGATAAAAAACCTGAAACAATTTCTGCGGGCTTAACGTAGCATTGTATCTAATCTTTTCACTAACCCAGTTGCCGGTGGCAGCGGTTACAATAAGATAATTTTTGTTTGGCCTTTCGTTGTTTGGTGAGATATGCCACTTTTCTGCATAAAGAATTACAGCATTTTTCAGCCTTTGTTGTTTATTGTTTTGTGGCATTGAAGGCATTGGTCGAAAAAGACACCAAGTCGTCAAAGTAAAGAGAAAAATTGTACTCCGGGAGAACCTTAGAAGTTGCCATGAAACGCTAAACATATTTTCGTCTACTTTAGCGGAATTTTGATATATTTCCACAAGTTTTCTAACCTGGAACAGTATAATTAATTTTGAATTTTTCTGTATAGAACACTTCGGAGGACATCTATAATAGTATCAAAATCATAAAAACGTTAGGCATTTACTTTTAACGTATTTTTAGGGCGTTTTTACTATATTTGAGATACTGAATCCGAAATTAATATTCCAAGTCACACACTTCTAGGAGACCCTAATGTCCGGCATGAATTGATGCATCATAGCATCATCATAGTATGATGCTATATAGCATAAAGATTATACAATTTATTAGGTATACTTTTTACAATGTACCTTACAGAGCAAGACCCTGTTTTACTTTATTTGTGGTGCTGAATCCGAAAATTGATGCTAAAAATTTTCAAGGAAATTTTGGAAAAAAGATAAATAACTAGCACTTGTAGCTCGAAACCTGCCGTAATAATTCAAAGATTTACAAGCCATTGACGATGCCCTAAAGTTTTTCTCGAAGATAAAGGGTGAAATTTCCCCAATGTATAAAAGTTCAACAGAGGTGACAAATCCCAGGAAAAGGCTTTATGGGCACTATCTTAAGTCATTGATGCAAGGTTTAAGCCCCAAGATAGCTTCCTTGTTCCAATCCATTTTACTGGAAAAGAGTTAGCGAATCAAAATAGAATTTTAGAATTAAAAGAAAGTGTCAACTACTTGCGTCTATTTTTTGCTCGTATTTTTCGAGATTTTTTTTGGCCATTAAAGCAGTTGTATGAATGTAAAGATTTGGTTCGAGGGGGTGGGGGGGCTAAAATCGTACAAAAGAGGCTTTAAATTTGGTTTCCTACTTAATATTTTGCATTTTTCCCAAAAAGTAGAGGGTTAAAGCCCCACAGCCCCTTGATCTGCGGTGCCTGAAAGATTTCACTGCCTCCATTTCCATAGGGTAACTGTCCTACCAGCTTCATATTTATAAATCCGGAAAAAAATCTTTTCGGTTCTATTCCTTCCAAAAACGAACAGAATGATCTCTATCTCGATTCACAAAAGTTGTTCTATTGCCATGGAAACCATGCTATTGCCTGCCACGGCGAAAGCGAGACATTCAAGTGCAAAATGGCGAAGTTGCAAAAGGCCTTAGTAAAATATTTATGAGAATCTATTTGCTGATCAATAATGGATAAACTCGCCACAGTTGGTGCAATCTTTAGAAAAGGCTATGTCATAAAATTGAACTGTTTCAAAACTTCGTTTCTCTGATTTTTTTCACAAGTAAGTGACTTGGCGTGAACAGTGTTGTTGGTAATCCAAGTTGCATTTAGGATCGCATACCTTGCCCTAGCTTATGCTAAATTATCTCAAAGGCTTTTTTAAAGCAAACTGTTAATGTGATCATGCTATTCGTTGCATTAATTGGCTCTGTGAGTGAGCGTGCTCTGCGGCTTTGGTTGTTAACGCGAACATAGAACCAACTGGTCTGAATTAATTTTTAGGGATGACCTTGATCAAGCATATGAGTCAGGTTTTCATAGCCAACGCTACAATCGACAAAGAGAAGGCGGTCGTTCAGTAAGTGAGATCAAAGTCTGGGTTTTTCTGATTGTGGCTTTCGAAGTCGCTGCAAGTGGCAGTAGCAGACTTGTGTATTGAGATGAAGGAAGTAAAAGATTTTTCAAAATCCACCGAAAAGGAAGAGAGTCAAAATTTGATGGTGAGTACGTTTGTATGTTTTCAGTTACAAGCTAATGCAAATTGTCACAAGGCTCTTTCTCGCATGTTTTTTGAATTTTCAGTTTCCTCATTAAAGTGGTTTTGAGCCTCATCAAATGCAAAATTTAAAATTATCCTATTTATTGTTTTGATAAATGTCTTAAGAAACAGTGCTTTGCTGCTCATAATGGTGAATTATTTGCTCCATAAACCCTTTTTATTGTAAGTGAATAAGATTATGCAAACTTATTAGACTGGCATCTGTTCATTTCACACATCTCTGAGACAGAAGGCAGGCTGTCTATTTCCTGATCATGACCTTGATTCATTGTCTGTTTGAGATCTTTCTTCAAACTCAGTTTTCATTTGGCAATCAACCAATTTTAATATAAGCTTTCCTGTTAACATTTCACTGCATAAAAGGTTGATTTGACAACAATTACAATTATGTCAAAATGAGCTACTTTTCAGAAGGCGATGATGGGATTTTGACTGCTTTAGTAGTGAGTCTCAAACAACTATTATTATAATTGGCACAGCTTTCATTGTCCAAATGTGCTTTCATGTCCTGGTGATAATACAGAAATGCACCTCACAATAAATTATGTTCCTTGTGATTGGGAAAAACAAATATCAGAAACCATATTCTTTCATCTGGAGGTTTTGATTGGTTGTGATGTTAGTCTTTTTAATTGACAATTATGTGAAAGTACAAAGATGTTGTTGCTATGCATACTAGTCAATTGAATTCTGTAACTTATTGACTGCAACTTATTGTTTGTAACCAATGCTTCAAGGATTATTGAGAAGCACTGTTCTCACCTGTATGCACTTTTCCACCTCCCCAATAAGAGTTTTCAAAGTATGTTTTTGTATCAGCTGAGTAGCTTACAGTTTAGAATAAGCCTATTGATTACAAAGTGATCTTACCATGAAGCAAAATTGAGGATAAATCACTGTGGTTGGTTGTCTTCTTGCTTTATCCCCTAAAATCACAAAATGCATAAAGATATGATTGTCTCTAAAGTGTATGTTCTGTAAGAATGTAAACATAGACTTTAGAATGACAAAACAGCAGGATATTTAAGGAGAAATTCAACATTCTATCTTAGCCTAATCTTTCAATCTGACATTTGGAAAAATTCAGAACATATGTTAGGCATACAGAGCAGTCACTAAAACTTGTGTAAGTTAATCAATATAAACCTATTATTGACATAAGTTTTATGGAAAATTGTTATATAGAAATAAAACATCTGATCTGTTGTAGACAGAACAAGTTTGTTTTCATACTTGATATTCTGTGTTCCAAAAAGGTTGTTAGAAAAAGAACTGCCAGGCCAAATCAGAGCCCACCAGACATAACTTTTAGTCTACTTGGTTATTTTGGTCTACATACCATACTGATAAGCATTTAGTCCGGTACTTGTGGATAAATTCTAGATGGAGAATGGATACAAAATCTGGCATAACGACACAATTTTCCCAAAATACCTGAAGTGAAACCCCCAAAAGAGTTATGTTCTATCAAACAGTCCCAATCATTAACAAATACTAAACTACTTTAGTCAATTATTATAAAAATAAAACAAAAAACAAACTACCAAAATAAATGCTCTGTTATTTTTTTGTAATTCAAATAATATATAATTACATTGTGAAGGAGAGTTTGTAGCATCAAATATTTTCTTTGTAAAGGGTTTATTGCTTCAAACGCAAAGCTTCAAACATGTGCTGGTTTTCAAATCACATCTTTGATCTATGTTAGAGCTTAAAATTATAACTGAAACTGGCAGGCCCCAGCCCCTTTTAGGGAGTATGATGTTATTTATTGAGTTACCTAAACCCGTTATGGTGTGGCTGTAAATATTTTTATGTGAATGGCTTTATAACAGTGGTCCTTATTTTTCTCTCTTTGCTACAGCCTGATCTTCCAAACAGTCAAGGCCAGTAAAAATTCCTAGCATCCTTTCTTCTTCTTCTAAAGATTCAATTCTAATAACAAGGTCACATTGGTCTCAATTGTGACATTCATTTGTTACTGATAACTTGCAGTTCTGTGAGGAAAGCTATATACACCCCCCCCCCAATCTGTAGGACTCCCTGCAGTCCAAACTCACATCCACTCTATTCCTAAAACAACTAACAGCGTTTCTTAAAAGCCATTTTTTTTAAAGAATCATTTCAATTTCACTGATAAAATATCATTTTCGAGTGGTTTCTTTAGTTTGAAAGAGGATGGCTAGTAGTAAATTTTTTATTTTTTTGGCATCATAGGAGCTAGTTTTTTAAAGACGTTTTATTATATAAAATGCATGCAGAAAATGATTGAAGTGTGTTTTATGATCATTTTATACCCTAAATCCAGCTGATTCACAATCGAAGTTGTCAAAGCTATGATCCTATTTAAAAAATTCAGAAACGGTAAGAGCCATGACACAATTTTAAATATTTCTGAAAAGAAAATAGTAATTCGATTTCCTATCTTATGGTAGCCAGAAAGTCAAGAATGAAAGTCATGTTAACTTGTTTGATATGATGCTATGATGTTTGCCATTTTCACGCTGTAATTTAACGTTTTCATAAGTAAATGTTTTGTAAAAAAAGAAGTAATCGACTCCTCAAAAAGGAAAGTTCTGCACGAGTTATTCAAACCTAAGAAGTACGGAATTATTTTCCGCTTTAAGAAGTTACTTTCAACTACATAGAAAAGCAGGATCGTCGCTACAGTAGGGCGTAGAGAGTGTGACACCCCCTTGGAAAATAATTTTATTGCAACAAAGAGGTTTTTTTTGCCTAAAAGGGGTGCTTCGTCGGGAAACTTTGAGGCTTGTCTGCAAATAAAGAATAACTCCCTCACTTTGTCGGCAAATATAACCTGGGCAACCCCTTTGAGCAAGTGACGGCCCTGTGTTTCAGTGCCATAGAAAGGATAGAATAATTAGAGAGACATTGTTTGAGGACAATAGGAACAAAATGAGACCATGCGACCAGGCTGATCTGTCATTAGCAATTTTATTCAAGGCTTAGTTTAATAATTTAAAACGACAAAGTCAATAAACATGCAAGCAATTTTGAAATGAAAGAAATAGTAAAAGTAAATAATTTTGGCGAGAAGGCTCTAAGAAAGTCTGAATACTTGCAAGCACATTATTGCGATTTTCTGCCGTCCCAGAATCCAAGAAAGTTAAAAATGAATATTGAATGTATTCATATTTTTCAGAAAAGGCTTTCTTTTCTTTTGAGAGCAAAGACAGTTGCTTAGTTGATGTGAATTTACATACCAAACACGCAGCATGAAGTATTTAGTAATTTTCTTATCGAATGCTGCAAAGTCTAAATTATGAAGGGAATAAATTTTCTTGTTATCAGCTTTTGTTCCGTTGCGAAGAGAACTAGGGCCGTTCCAAACTCACTATTACGATGTTCTGTCATCCAGAGTCTGCGTAAAATTTTGAGAAATTAGAAAACTTTGAATAGCCTTTGATTGTCAAATTCTATGAAAATTCAAGAAAATTTCAGTACTGAAAAAAATGTATGTATCATTAAGTAGGATGGAGGTCTGAAAAGTTGAGTAAAACGATTGTAAAAACAAAGACACGATGGTTAATAGCTTTGCATAATTAGCGGGTGACTGAGTGACCTGGTTTTACTGTTTGACATTAAGAAACAGTAGAATAGAATGGAAATTTGTAAACGACCACCTGACTCTCATGCTCCTTTTCTAATAAAATCGAACGCCGCACAGGTGACTTGACTCAGAATTTACATCTGTATATCAAGATGAGGAATAAACATTTCGATCATGAGCGCTCTGGATGGAAAATTAAGTTTTTTCAATTAGAAGACAGGCGATGTTTTTGATATCAGTTGCCCTCCTGAAGCTCTGCTCGTCCATAGCAAATTAGCTTCGCAGTCACGTTTCCTAGCAACCAGACGTATAGCTGGATAGATCTATAACATTGAGTTGAAGGCTGTCCGAAATCAGAATGGAGAGAATGTCGTTTCTTATGGCAGATTTCGCTTGCTTGTAATGGGAGTTTCGACGGATGGCGTTGCGATGGGAGGTGAACGATTCAAGGTAAAATGAATTCTACCATTGAAATTTAAACAACTAAAGATATCCACAGTGATATTTCTAATACGTTAAGGAACATAAATAGTTTTTTGGACATAGAAAGATTGATCATCGCATCGCAAAGTGAAGTATTCTGTTTACGCCAGTATAATTTCATACCACTTTACATATATTTGTATGTCTAAAGCTCAGTATCATGTATCCACGTACTCACAAAGTATTGCTTATGAAACAAGTTATACTAACTTTCAAAAGTGCAGCGCCTTTATTTTATATTATTTTTCATCGTATTTCCTAATATTTAAGTGTTATGGAAGACCAGTCAAATATTTGAATATCTTCTTTGTTCGTCAACCCTGAGCAATTCGATTCTATATTGCGGAGAGCTTGGTTTTTCTGCTATTACTTATTAACGATCTATTTTCCCTTCTATTCACGATGCAAAATGGTATTTTCGTTGAGATCAATAATATCTACAAAAGAACTATGCTTCATTTTTGCCACGTTAAAACTGAGTCATCATTTACTTTTGGCTTTGTGCTTTTCAGATATTATTCATGCTTCCTTTGCTACCTCGAGTATTTATAAAACATCATCTCTTTGTGCCTTAACCGGTATACATAAGTGATTCGTTTAACATTTTATCCTCGTCGTTATTAAAAAGAGTATTAGCGTACAGCGGTTTATTAGCTAAGGTAATTAATTCCTTACAGAATCTATTATAATGTTCTGTTGTTTTCTCTGGCAAAGACGCAAATATTTAGTGTGCAAATATAGGGCTTATTGTTGGACTGGGTTTTTGTCGCGCACTTTGAAGATTGCTTTATTGGTTGTATTTAGTACGAACTGGCAGGGTACGGGAGCGAGTACGCAGTTGAACGTTTTATAGCTTATAACATTTGCTAAGTTTTATGCCCTTGAAAAATTTCACTTGTATTTAATACAGAATGAATGCATTTTAATGAATTAATGAATGCTTCTATCTATAGTGCTGTGCTGTGCTAATTTGATTTTCGTGAATCTCTTCTCGTTATTTCAAGCAGCCAGCTAACTGGTATCCACCTCTAAACATCATTCTTTCCAAAAACGCATATATGCTTACTCAACACTTTTTGAATCTAAGCTCGACTTTCACTTAAGATCACCGACTTTGTTGCAACTTTTTTCCTAATTTGCTAACAATATTTTTACCCCTGGACTTTGACAAAATGGGATTTTCGAAGCCAGCTCAAAATCCTTTTAGCCATTTCTCTATTTTATGTTTGTATTACGGTTAGCAGAGTTTCTTTGTTGACACAAATGCAGGTTTTTCCGTTTTTCAACCTGCTGGTTGAAATGTTTCTTGTTATCGATTAAACGTTTAATTCAAAGTCAGTATTATTTCTATTATCTTTCGTTATAATAAAATAGGCAGATTAAGATATTTAGCAGGTAGAAAACCGTCGAAAATGTCGTCGGATTTAATAAAACTCTTCAAGAAGGTGATTTCTTCAATTATAATTTTACGGGTGGTTGTGATTGCAAAATTTTTTTATGGCCGTTGTTTTCAGTTGTTAGTTATGAAAGTGAATTGTAAACATAACTGAGCCAAGAAACCCCCCCCCCCCCTCCTTGATATTCAAATTCCCCTTTCGTTATTGTTCAAACTTGAAATTATCTTCCTATTACTTGCTCACGCAGACTAAAATTCTTTACCTTCCATTTTCATAGCTTTTGTTGTCACAATAAGCGTAGATTAAAATACCTTCGTTGAAGAGAAAACCATTTAGAATCACCCTATCCTACCTTTCCTACCATATCCTTTCATTTCTTTCGTTATCCTACAGTATCATACTTTACCTCCATCCTATCCTCTACCCTTCTTATCCTCAACCCTTCCTACCCTCTACACTTTCTACACTGCTGTTACGCTCTTCCACCTTCCTGAAGGGGTCCCAAAAAGTTGTAACAAAGTTTCTTGCAAAAACAGAAAAGAAAAGCTTTAAGCGGGTCTGCCCTTTTCTAGCCCATTATACCCGATCTAACCCCCATCGTATCTTTCTCTATTCTATGATATCATCAAGCTACTCTCCTTCCCATTTTCTCCCATTCTTCCACAATCTCATACCCCATCGCACCCTTTCCTTGCTCATTCTACCCTGCCTTACACCCATGCATCGCCCACTTCTTTTCCTCCATCATCACCCCTGCTCCAGCACTCAAACCAACTCTATGGCCCATGCCTTCTTTCATTATTGATAAGCTAACTTTCAATGTAATAAGATAATACCTTTTTGTGTGATGCGGTAGTGAGGTTTTTATCCGCCGTTCCATTAAATTCTGCTTTGCGAACATGTTCCAACTTGTGGGGCTGGTCTCTGTCAAATAAAAGAAAAGAAGGTCATTATTTTACGAATAGTCTATAAATTTGAAGGAAGGCTTTCAGTATCTCAAGAGGGCAATGTACTCGTCTATGCCTTGTCTCAACTGGATGTGGATCTATTAATACCGCAGCTGAGTGCAGCAAAGCTTGTGAAATCGTTTTCATTGAATATAACAAAAACCATTTTTTGGAAAAATTCCTAGCGCATGGATCAGCTATGAATCGGAAAAACATGATCACCCCTTCATTGATTGGGTAAGATGTTTCTTCAAGAGAAGGAGAAAAAATCTTTGACACGCCCAAACACGTCTGTCTTGTTGTATCATCTCTAGTTGCTACTGTCGAAATCGCACCAACAACCATGTGCACAATTTAAGTAGCTTAATGTCGTTTTAAATCTAAAGTCATATACTGTACATCATTTATTCAAAATAAATTTGAATTTCTGGCGTTACTGCACATCAAACAGACTCATTGATATTTGGATTTGAATTTGCGCAAGATTATTTGTCTGGTGTTCAGAAGTGTCCGTTGCGTTTCATGATGTCTCTGGTTATGGAAATTCACGTTGTACTTTAGTTTCGTGCTACTTTAGTTTCGTGCTACTTTAGTTTCGTGCTACTAGTACAAGATACTTTGGCTTCAAGCTAGCAGAGTAATAGTCGTTAGGGAAGGCTTTTGACCAACACTAGCACTAAGAGCATGACAGCTGCAAGTCAAAAGATTCCACTTTGATGTTTATATTAGTAAGAATATTTCTGCACAAGACACCTAATACGATATGTAATTGATATCGGATTTGCAAGCTTTTTAAGAAAACTTAATCAACAAAGCCATGTTTCTGTCGCGTTTTTTACCTTATGTGCTAATCCTCGTTGCAGCTGTTGCCAATTAGTACCTACAAACCGTAGTGGTGCCTTCATTAGGCACTAGGGCATCGCAAGCATTAGCTTGTTTTAATGTCACTTCTTCTTCATTTTAGATTTAGCAGCTCTTTTTGTCATCTTTATTCAATTAATTTTTTTAATTTTAGGCCTTTTTTGTAATTAAAACGTTTATAAAAACTGGAACCTAAAACGGCATGAAAATTAGATATCACAGTATTGATTACCTGCAACTTAAAGAAACTGCTTGAAAATAATTCTTGAGCGTTTTGATACATATTTCTTGTTCAATTAATATTGATAATATAAAGAAAAACTTCTTGTGACCGATTATGTGTTCTGTTGTATGTTATGCTACAATCTTGTGCTTCAAAAAGTAATTTTTTGGAACTTGATTATTAATAAACCTTCAAGAATCGTTTTGTACAAAATCGATTAAAAAGTAAGAAAAATATAATCTTCGCCTATGCTTAATTTGTTTTTAAAACTGAGTGTCCAGTACAAGGTGGTATGTTTTGATAGATCTTAAAGCAGCGTTTTTTGTTGTGCTTCGTAGGTAGCTGTTCGAGTTAGGCCAATAAATGATGCAGAAATCGAAAATGGATGCACTGATATTGCTCATGTTATCGACGTGGAAAAAGTAAGTTTGCTAATATTATCAAGTTTTATTTCAGCAACTATGGTGTCGGGATGGTGTCTTCAATTTTGTTTTGATCGTGCTTAAGTTATAACCCAATCACATTTTTCAATTTTCTGCCTTAACTATATGGTATCCCACAATTGCCTGCTTTTCTATGTCTTAAAGGCGAGATCCGACATCTCAATGCAAATAAATTTTAAGTATAATTATATTTCCCCATATATGTGTTTCATGTGAATTCCGGAACGATTCAAATGAGAAATGTGAAAATGCGATTAATTTTCCAACTAAAGAACATTATGCTTGATGGATTATTTCCAATTTATTGCCTCGTGCTTGTGTTCTTTCATGGTAGCTGTAGTAAAATTATTTGACATGGATTTTATTCATGGTGATTAATATGCGAATCCCAGTCGTTGTGTAGACTTCGTATGTGGTTTTCTGTCCGTCTGCTCTGCAACTTATTCGTTTAATTTCGGTGCCTTTTTCTGCAATGAAACCACTGGGCGGTAGAGGCTTAATATTTGTGGCTTGTTAATGCTTTCATTAGTTTACTGACAAGCCAAAAGAAGGTCCCCAGGCAAGCATAACTGTTTAGAATTTTCCCGCAACAATTTGAAAACGAGATTTCCAGATTTGTATCTATAGCAACGTGATATGGTTTTGGAAACCAAAGAAGGTTCTACCGGTTGTATTGTTTTGAATTGGCCAAAAATTTCTCATTAACTTTTAGTTGGTTGGAGCAAGAATGATAACATCACAAAACTACAAAATATCCGTTTGTAAAGACTACTCGTTTGTCAAATAATATGATTGGGAGTGTTTTTGTTTAAATTCCTGCCTGTCCATTGAATACTGTTTACTCTGTTTCATTCAATTGTAAAATGACTTCAGAAACTTATTTAAATGAATATTGTTATTTTTTACGACAGAACTGTTATTGCTATGCTTATATTTAGGCATAACATTGTTACGAATCTATCATTTAAAATATTACATGGACACAAGAGTGGGCGATGTTGCATAGAATATAGAGTTTGACTATTGTGACGTCATCACTTGAGAACTCTATCCAAACGTTGAACTGCGAGTATAGAGTTGTTAACCTTTTTGAAAACCATAAAGGAGATATGTTTAAAGAAATCTGAGACTTATTCTTAAGGAATTGAAAGACATTCAATGAAAGGGTTTGAAATCAATAAAGTTGCTAACAGGAGGAAACTTTAAATTCAGTCTTTTGACGAACAGATGTCTTTAATAGTCTGATAGAATTTAAAGTTATATAGAACTTTAGGTTGATATGAATTGCTATGCCATGGTTAGAGAGACAATTGCTTGTCTAGAAATTACATTGATCTTATAAAGCTTTTCCAAACATCGATCTCAAGATGATTTTCTCGCTCAAGGGCAGAAACGCTAAAAATTTAATGAGTATATTGTGAGAAGATAGACACGCTCTTGATGTGCACTGTTGTGTTTATCGCGTTTGGATTAGATGCTGACGCTTCTCAATATGCAGTCTTTATTCGTTGGTTACTGGTATGATAACATATTTTAAGAGCTTTAATAATTCATAACCTAAAGAGGTCACAACAAAAATTTCATATTTATTTCCTTGATTCCTTTTCTTTCCACCTGCTGCTAATTAATGTGACGAATAACCTTGGTGCACTGTGCAGAAGGCTTTTTTGACTGCCTTTTTGTGAAATTTCCGACTACCAGAAGTGGCCAGAAAATGTTCTTTTGTACGATCTGCGAGGGCTGGAGTCCAAAAAACCAAGCCATTTGATTTCGTATTCCACTCACCCATAAGCACTCTTCTCCAAAAACTGCCCGTTAGTGGTTAAAAATATTTTGAAAATGTTTTTGCATCGCTTAAAAATGTCACCATATAAATCTAATATTTTTAAAAAAAAGTGAATAGGTCGTGAAGGTGACTTTGTAATCTTAAATGACATACTTTAACTAATTTTTTGCAATTAAAGCACTTTTCTATTTATACCCAGATGTTTTTGTCGGGTTTAAGCATAAGCAGCATAAGACCATAAATCCGGAAAAAATATTGAATGTACATGCTTTACAATCAGCATTTAATTTCAGGATTAGTACCCAGTTCTTAACTTTGTTTGTTGGTTTTAGAGTCAAATGTTTTTTAAAGGGTTCGTATATACTTATTATTTAAGAAGAGCAGCTTTGGTTCACATATTCCACTGGAAATGTGATTGTAGTATATTTACCTGATCAATCTGCTGTATTTCTTTAAAGCTTGATTGTTATTTATACTTTGTTTGATCAACGTTTTAACATGCATATCATTCACAGATGGTGGTTCTTATGGACCCGATTGACGATGCTGATGATATCCTACGAGCAAACAGGTCAAGGGAAAAGCAATACGTATTTGACTTATCTTTCGGACCATCAGCTACCCAGGTAATATTTTTTACTCCTGCACTTATACGCTCATACGATATTTATTTATAGCAATGTATTTGTGAGTTAATTTTTTTAAGGAGAGTAACCATTGATAACAGCAATGTATTTGTTTGAGTCTTTGTACTTTTAAAATATATTTGCACTTGAATCTCGTTAATTCGTACCCCAGATAGGTCGGACTTTCACTAAGACGAACTGATTTTCGATACCCATTGGATTTACCTTCCTTATTCAAGTCAAAAGTCGCACCCCTGATCATTTGGAATTTCACTTATTCGGACCATTTCCTTATACTCCTGGAAGGTTTTACTTAACGGGATTCAACTGTACTATAATTATTATTATTATTCAGATGCCCTCTGGCTCAGATTATGAACAGTTAAAGATGGTATCAGGGTCCTGAACTCAAATCAAAGTGGGAACTTTGATAGATCTCGCCCTTTTTTACTCTTTGTTCAACAAATTAGGCATAATTCAACCAATTGATTTTACAGTGCCTATCTATTCAAATTTTTTAAAATTCTGCGAAGATTTCTTTTTGAAGCAGTGAATTTGTAGACAAAAAATACAACTGTTTAAATTTTACCATTTCTAATTTTTTCTTGAAATTAGAGATTAAAAGTGCCAGCTTTGAGAATTACCGCGTCATTGAAGGTCTGGGTCAAGCGAGAGGTGCGTGACGTACATCCTGGGATGTCCCTCCGAAAGAGTTTTAGACAAAGATGTCTTAAACTCATCTAAGTTTATTTCAGGCCTTCAACAAACAAATATTCTAGAAATACTCGAAAAATATTCTTGAAGAATAATCATGGTTCTCTCTGCCATCCTTGTTTCTAGTGTTGGGCTTAGACCAGGCACTGATTTCGCTTTTAAGGGTTTTTAAGCAAGACTGATTCATAACGAATGGTAAAACTTCTTATAATAGTTAAATAAGACTTGCAGTAAATTGTTAATGTTAGTCTCAAAGTATGAGTTTGGATGGGCACTGGATAGACCATATCGGAATTTGCAACGCCATGATGGAATCTTATTGTTATTTCGCAAGTTCCAATCCCGCAGGCGGGGTAAACCAGCGCACAATTCATGGTGGATAGATTATTAATCTTTTTGGCCGTGAAACTTTCTAAGAGCAAAGAAAGTTACTTTAGAATGAAAACCTGAATTTCGTTGGTTAACAATGGACCTTGATATAGGCTGACATTGAATTTATTGCGGTTTTTTGCCCCACTGTTGTCATGGTGTTGCGATCTTTGAGAAGGTCTATTGATTTACTAGATTCACTGAACATTCCTGGCTATAAGAATAATAATGAAGATGGCTGTATTTCCAAATTCCAGTGGAAGAGTTATTGGTCTTTGAAAGCAGAAAGAAAAGTGCATCTCTGAAACATTTCATCTGAAACCATTTTAAGCTCTGGAGTTTGAGCTTAAATAGGAATTGTTTTGTGTCATTCTATATTGGTTGTATTGAAACAGTTTTCATCACGAAGAAAATTCTTGACTCTTGCAGAATCAGCTTTTTGCAGTTAGCACCCCTGCCGTTAGAAATTGATCTTGGGTCATGCTTTGTAGCAGTAAATGCGTTTTCACGTGTCATCTGACGTTGCGTAATCGCCGTTTGTTTTTGTTCATTACCGTGTTGTATAGATTGCAAGCTGATGTGTTTAACTGTTAGTTATTTCTACCTGCTACGCTGTAGTTTGTTTTACCGAGTTGCTTTTCCAGCCCTGAGGGTGACTGTATTAATTACATTATGGAGTTAATTCAGTATGACCTGAGCTTCGCTTGAAATGAAGATTTTCCGCTTGCTACCGCACGTGTTAATGTAAACATGCCCTCGCAACATGCTCTAATTTTCCCCAAAAGCCTATATTGAAATCAAACAACATTAGATATTCTTTTTGTACTCATTCCGAATTCCACAACACCTAACACTGATAATGACAATTCACGCCGGAGCTCTGTGTTTTTGCTGTCTTACGCTTTTATGATGGGAAGTAATTTTAGTGTTCCCGAGTTATTAACATAAAAGGAAGGAAATTTGATTGATTTGCAAAGCCTTCCCAATGAATTTCAAATCTAATTAGGTGTAGATGCTTTACTTTCTTACAATTAGTTCGATACGTATATGCCCTAGGTTCATATCAATTGACTGTGTTATTTATAAAGAGCTCACCATTTATAAGGAGTTGTTTAAATGCTGAGTTTAAGTTTCAACGGGTCAAATCCTTTAACAGCTGACTTCACCTAGGCTGCTGCGCAGTTCCACCATTGGCACAGCTTACTAACGACATTAAAGGGCCACTCCAGCCCAAAATTTTTATTTCAGAACACGATGTAATCAGACCTACTGAAAACGAATCTGTTATTATTTTTTTCATATCTCTAACTGTTTTGTAGTTATTAGCGTTTGTAAAATGGTCATTGAGTTGAATTGTTTTTCAACCGTGTTATCGGAGATCTTCGGATTGACGTCACAGGCATTTTCGGCCTCGGTAAGTTCGCGGCAAGTATCATCGGCTGTCCAAAGGGTCAACGATAACGTTGCGAAATGGCAGACAGGGCCTAGCAGCGGCATGTTTGTTAGAAGGCCAGACTTTTATCTGGAATCGATATAAAGAGAGAAGTATCGCTCATCAGTCTTGATATTCTGATCGAATATGGAAGTTTTTTGTCGCACGAATCTTTCTGACAGAGAAGTCGAATTGGCAAAGTAGGCCAGCGAGACATAGACATGAGGATGTTGACAGACTTTCATGGAATGTTGCTTTTGAAGCAATTTGTATTGGCAGGCCAGTTCCCTGATTTTAAAAAGAAGATTCGCGCTTTTTCATCAGCCCCTCCTTTAGTGCAACAGCTAAAAAACATCGCGCAATTAATTCGGGAGGAAAGAAGAAAACAAAACCAGTATACCGGGAATGAAAGCTGTATGAATTGATACAACATATTCATTAGGATAAAGAGCTTCATATCAACATGACTTATTGGAAATAAAACAGGACAAATGAGGACATGGACAAGAAAGTATACAACTTTCAAGACAAGACTAAAAACCTACCATTAGTCATGAGTCAAACAACTTTTTCAAAAATTATGAATTTGTTTTTATACAAACAAAAAAGGGATTTGAGATTATATTAATAATTCAACTTTTTCAATATACTTTTGTAAATATAATATTTGTTTTTAACCTTTAAGCTATTAAAGGGGCCTTGTCGGCTCCTTTAAGCTGTCAGAATCTCAACCTGCTATATTTATGAATAATAAATACATGTTTGATGTATTTAAATACTTGGCTACATTGAATTATACAATCAGGCCAGTGAACTAGCTAGCAATTTGTAATTTCTATTGCACATGAGAAATGTTCTTATAAAAGTATCATGAAACAATAATCTATTGCAAAACTTCTAGAAAATACCTATATGTTGTTACTAGCTTTAAATAATTTGCAAACATTATATATGACCAAATTATATATAAAATTTTGATAATTTTAAATATAGTCTCCTTTGTAAAAATGTTAATACAAAAACAGAATAATGTGTTGAGGTCTTTGTGGTAACTCTTGAATGGAAGAGAGGGGCAAGTTATCACTCCCACAAAGCCAGTAGCCAGATAACAGGATGCATGTAATCTCCAACCTTCATCTAGCATTTTTTTGCAAGATCCTTTCTGCTGATCCATAAAAGAGTTTGTTACCTTTTTTATGCCTAGAATAATAAGGTTGACAGGGATAAATACTAACATACCAGTGAAATTTACTTTTGAGTCATATTAAAACATAAAATGATCAAAGAAACTTGGACACTCAGGGGCATTCAGAGTATAGATATTTAGAAGGATCAAAGAGAAATTTAGGGGTGAAAGGGCAACCACTGTTACTATAGCAAATAGCATCTAAGGATATTAACTTGAATTAACACAAAGATGAATTTAAATGATATAGGCCATGCTTATATGAATCAATGCTAGAATAGCAAAGGTAAATTTAACAAATATAAACAATTCTGCCTTTAAAACATTAGAATGAGGATATTACACATCTTTTTTCCAAGACCAAGGGTGTAAATTCCATGTTTTTTCTTTTGGGTAGTAGATCTTTTGCCCTGGATATTGATCTGGCAAAATTTTGAAATTGTGCATCAATTTTATGATGAAATAGGCAGAATTCCAAAATTGAAGGCAGAACAAGGTAGAACATGAAGAAGAAGGGTTCAGGAGACAAACCCTGGGAAATTATACACATCTATACCTCGGGCAAAGGTGTAGTGCACAGATCATTGGCAGGGATGTAGTGCTAGGAGGCTCAGGCCCCCTTGTTGGTACAAAAAAGTAGCAAACTTCTACTTTTGGTAATATTTTATGTGACATTTTGCTTGAGAGCCCCTGTGGTACTTTTCATATTACCACATTTCTGACCATTTGGGAGACAGTTCACAAGACTGGCTGTTAGAAAACCTGTATTTAGAGGACGAAGTTTTTCTCAAAGCCCGGCAAATTGCGATGCTTAGGGGGTGCGTGTCACGCCATCCCCAAACCCCCTCCAAACCTCTACACCCTGCAGTTTCGCCTAACATTCAACATAGTAAAATGATAATAAGATTGAATTGTGACTTACGAGGTTTCCATTTTGTGAATGGGGTTCTTCTTCTAATGCGGTGAGACATCAATTATTATTCAGCTCCCTGGAAATTCCTGAGATGACACGACGATAAGAAATGCCTTCGGTCAGAAATCCATTCACATCTGAAAATTCGTGAAGCATTCCACATTAAAAAGCTTGCTGCGTTGCCAAGATGAGGGTATGCGTTCAGGTTGAAGCTTCCATCTTTGATTTGTCGAATTACTAGTCCATGTTGGCTGGAAGCCTCCGCTGAACATCAATCGCAAAGAAGGAAAATAAATAAAACGACAACCGAGATTCCGACATGAATCGCCTCTTCCGAGCCTCTACCGAGTCGTGCGAATTTCAGTGCGAACGTATAACAATAGAGCCGAATATTGAAACAATAGCCCTTTCACACGTCACAAAGTGCTTTTTCCGAAAAAAATTTTGTCGTATTTTTACGGTGATTCTCAACTTTGAGCGTCTATATCTGGAAAACGAGTTAAGCTTTTCGAAAAAAAATTTCACGATAGCTTCTTTTTCTTGACTAACTACCAATTTATGCAAAAAAAATTTTGGGCTGGAGTGGCCCTTTAAATGTTCTTTATCTACTATAAAGGGTATACAATATTTAAAATAAGAGCGCAATATATAAGAACACAAAGGCTCAATTTGCCAAAAATAAGAACAACACAAGAACATGAACACATGAAACTTTAGAAGCTTTGCTCTCATGTTAACAAAACGGTTAGAGGTGATAAACAAATAATAAAATCAAGCCTCGGCAATTATTATCTGGTTCTTACGGAAAAGAGTCTAATCTCATCCAATAATGTCAAGTCTTAAGCTTAACGCAGAGAGAGGAGGACAAAAGTAGCCCAGGAGCAACAGTTTCTTTTCAGATGCCAGCGCCTCTTCTGATTTATATCCGACTATATTTTTATATTGCTCACATTTGATGATCCTCATGAAAATGACACTCAATAGGCAGGTGGAAAAATGCTTTACATTCATAAGAGAGAGTGGTAGGAAATGATTAATAATAAGTTTATTGTGCTATGGCCAGTCTCCCACTGCAGAAGTATGATAAAGTCCTTTCTGTCAAATCGATCGATATGATCACTAATTAGATGTCTTCAAAGAAGAAAACTACAATTCTTTGGCGAACAATTTTTGTATCTGCCACTGTTATCACAGAAGTTAAGTAGATACAGCCATTCTTTACCGCCAGAACATCTCTGTTGGGCTGATTTACGTATTTCTTTAAAAAACAATAGAATCTGTTTAGAATCAATTATACCAAGCATGAGCTTTAATTTTTTATATTATAATTTGCAGAAAGAAGTATACGAGCATACGACCAAGGATTTGATCGAGTCGGTTGTTGATGGCTTCAATGCAACTGTTTTTGCTTATGGCCCAACAGGTAAGTTGGATTTTTTACCAAAAGAGTTTTTAATTAAACACCGTTAAGGTCATTTGATCCTGAGTTATTGATTGCTTTGTAGTTTATTATGTTTGGATCATCATTTCCTGGGGGAATTAATAGAAATGGTAATCAACAGTTAACTGTGTAGAAGCTGGAAGTCAAGTATAAGCATTAATATTCATGATGAGGTGAATTCGCCTGTCAGGTACCAGTTTATGGTCTACTGATGTCCCTCAATAAAGAAAGTTTTGCTAGTAAATCTTTCCATTTAATTTAGACCATGGATCAAAACAGTTTTTAGCCTTTTCATCATTAAAGGTTATTTGCCACATAGAGCTTATTGCTAATCCGAAGAAACCCAGAAGTCCTGTTTTTTGGCTATTTCAATATCAGATTAATGAACGTACGCTCACCTCTGACCAGGCCTGGCCACTTGAGGAGAGCCATAACTCTTTCTCTTCTCCAGGCTCTCCTTAAATGCTGAAGAGGAGCTAAATATTGCTCTCCTCAACAGCTCTGAAAAGAAGGAAATAGCTCTCCTTGAAATAGGTTTTTCCTTTGTTGCTCTTCTTATTTATCTACAAATAGCTCACCGGGAAGTTATTAGGATAGGTGTTTACTGTTCCTCTGCTAAAAGTCTTATGACCTGGCCTGCCTCTGACTGAATTTCATACAACACAACTCCCTGGTACACAAATTTCAAGTTGTATTATGTTGTATCTACTTCACATCCCTCCCTTTTCTGCTGTGTAGACTTTCACGAGTTTCTTCTAAAAAATGACATTTAAAATATGTTTTGAACTTTTGCACAGGGGCTGGTAAGACACATACGATGCTGGGACTTGACTCTGACCCTGGTATCATGGTCAGAACATTAAACGACTTGTTTAAGAAAATGGAATTGACAAGTGATGACTCAAGCTACGTCGTAACAATGTCTTATTTGGAGGTAATGCAGATGTCTAGCCAAATTATCTTTGTTTACCCTTCTTCGTTCCCCAATTTAGGAGGGTTGTTTTACTAAAAAGTGGCACAATTGCTTTGGAAACGTGTTTTTTTCATGTGATACGTGTTTTCTTTTTCTATCGGCATTGTTTTTTGGAGGAAGGAGAGAAGACGTTGAAGTCTTTGCAATTAGAGGTGAAAATAGAAAACTGTACATTTGCTGTGCTTTTACCCGTTCACTGGCATTTTAGGTTATGTAACACATTGGACCAGTGCTTATCAATCAGTGCAGTTGTAGTTTCTTGTAAAGTGACCACTTCACGTGCCTACTCCATCTGTAAAATGAAGAGCTTGCTATTCAATTCGTTTCTTGTGTGCGATTAGCTAGAGCTAGGATTTTACTACTGCGCTTCACCATGTGGCTAGATATGCTTTTTAATTCGCTGTCTTTCGTTAAAACGTTATTTAGAAGGTCTATTGTATAAAAGTTGTTTTCTCATGTACTCAAAGCCTCTATTCATACTGTTTATTTTAACATTATTTTTTGTTTTTTAGATTTATAATGAAATGATTCGTGATTTACTGAACCCATCTTCGGGGTACCTCGATTTGAGGGAAGATTCGAAAGGTGTTGTTGTTGCTGGTTTATCAGAAATGACAGCCTCTACGACGAAAGAGGTCATGCAGATGCTGTCAATGGGCAACAAACAGAGGACCTGTGAACCAACAGCAGTTAACAAGACGTCGTCCCGTTCCCATGCTGTCTTACAGGTGCGATAAGCAACTCGTTTGACGGATGTTGCATAGTACACAATTGTTTAAAGCAACCTTAGTTTTTGCTGCAGCATCCAGTTGCTACAGAGTGAATTGCCATTTCCAGTCTAAAAGCTGCTTACAGGTTGCTAAATGATTTATGTGACCAGCCTTGGTTGCTAAGTTGCTATATTCCAGCCATTTTCGAAAGCGAGCTGATCCAATTAAACTCATTTATCCCTTTAAAGTTTATTATTGTTTTCAAAAGTTGCGCTTGTATTCAACATGACCTAGTAAATTCTGTTCACATCACTTATTTAAAAGAGATATTTTTTTATGTTAAAAAAACGAAAATTTCAGTCCCAGGATGCAGGTGGCTTAGTTTTTTGATTGATTTTAGTCTCAAAACTCAGCAACTGAGTTGCTTTTAAAGAAAAGCGTGTATATATGATCACATTCATTCCTCTTCCTGAAGTTTAATGTTCAGTCACAGTCTATATCTTTGCGCCCGCTGCTGTGCTGTGTCAGTTGTCGGAGCCTGAATCCTGCAAATTTTTTTAAAGGAATGCGATGTTGGTTTCCGTTTTCAATGGTTGAATACTTGACTCATCAGTTCTATTCATCACATGAATTCAATTTTTAGGCTAACCTTATGTTGATTAAAACGATTCACCTGCTTTACTTCACACTTCTATAAAGCAAAGAAAAACCGTTTAAAACTGTTCCATGACCTCAGTTTTTCATTGAATGTCATACCCTGGTTTGTCATATTACATAATATAAGGTGTCATATTACATAACAATCACCTGGATTGGCTTCACAATTTCCATGGTGATAACAGCACTATTATGTTCGTTAGCTGTTGCTTTTACCAGATTTACGGCAATCCTATCTGACGCTTTTACCTTTGAATAATATTACTTGTTCAACATTTCATGAAGCAAAAGTTAGACAGCCTCCCTTTTCAAAAAGTCATAATAATTTGAGCTGTTGAATGATATTGCAGCTAACTACAAGATCAGTTTTTTTATCATTTTTTGACTGACTGGTTTTAAGTTTTCCTAAACTGGTATCCTTTTTACATGTTCAGTTTTCTTCAGTTATATTTTCTGTTTTTGACAATATTAACAGGATATATGTGGGAAAGCTGATTTTCGAGAGAGATGAAACCAAACTTTTATTAAAAACTTGATTTATGTTTATCTGAAAGCTGAAAAATGTCAGTTAAAACTGATAAAAACTACTCATATTTATCTGTCTTAAGGCCTATGTTTAAGAACCTGTAATTCAAGACCCTTCTATCACTTTGAATTTCTTCTGAAGCTTTTAGCCGCTATACTTTTCCCGTACCTTTGTTGGAAAGCATGTTAAAAAGCCTCTCGTTAATCTCTTAAATTTTCTTCTAAGGTATCCTCTCTTTAACAGCTCTTTCATTAGTACGTTTTTAATTTTTTTATGTACTGATGGTAGCTGTTATTTGCCTTTAAGGTGACAGTGAAGCAGAAAAGTCGCGTTAGAAATATCATGGAAGAAGTCAAAATCGGCAAATTATTTATGATCGATCTTGCAGGATCAGAGAGAGCTGCAAATACACAGGTATATCACAACAGAACATCTCCAAACATGAAGTTCTTTCGAAATTTGATGACGTCACTTTTAAATGTTAAATGAATGCTAATTTTCAAAATTGCCATGACGTCACTTTTAAATGTGTATTGAATGCTAGTTTTCAAAATTGCGATGACGTCACTTTTAAATGTGTATTGAATGCTTGTTTTGTAAGTATCTCTAATCTATTTCTGCGTTAGAATCGCGGGAAAAGACTCATCGAAGGCGCTCACATCAATAGATCACTACTGGCTCTTGGAAATTGTATCAATGCTTTATGTGAGTACTGTGACTCTGTTTTGATCACAACAACTGGTTATCCATTGAAAGTGTAGCATATATTGAATTATGAAAGGTTATCAAGCCAAACTTTAGTTTATGTCGCAAAAGATTACTTATTTTATTTCAGGGTATTTATCTTGATGTCGTGAAATGTTAATGAAATCAAATCGTAGTCCTAATTCCGAAGATAAAGCTGAATTGCAGGGGCGTAGCGTGCGGTGTACACAGCTTTCAGATGTACACAGCAAATATTGGGGTCTACACAGCATTCAGATGTACACAGCAGATGTTGGGCTGTACACAGCTTTCAGAACACTTGTCGGTAGAATTAAATTTATAACAAAATATTAATGTAACAAAAAAATTTTTGTCGGTAAAATACGGTTTTGCATCTTTTACACCCCTCCCCCCCCCCCAGCGAGAATGGCCACGCGACGCCACTGCTGAATTGTAGCAGCCTCGTTGTTTAAGAAAACTCTTACGATTGCCAGCGTACATCTATGTAAAAAAGTATTGTCGAGAATATCACATGTGAACATACCGAGCATGTCTAAAGCCTTCAACTACCAACCGTTGATAAAGTAACAGACAATTTCAAAAAGAAGCCAAAGTTAACCAGGCAAAGTTAACTGTGTTTCGATATGAGAATTGTTTTATATAACTGGAACGACCTGTTTTTGCCATCCGGCATTCCTCAAACAAGTTTTCGTTTCATGAGCAGTCCATTTTCGTTTATTCGCGTTCTTTCGTTTTAAATTGAATTAAGATCCTCATGGGAAAAGGTACCTTCTAGGAGACTTTAGGCCAAAAAGTGATTTTTAGGCCACTTTAAATACCTGTTTACTCCGATCTTCTTTTTAAAAATGTTCTTACTTTAATAACCTAGCACTGTTGCAAGTTCTACCTTTAGTGTAACTATCATAAGTGCAATAAAAATAACACAATGATTAAATAAATCAGAAAAAGATCTGAAGCTCAATAATAATGGTATAACTTGGACCCTAAGTTACGTAAAGATACCTGTAGATAAAAATAAGCAAAATCTTAACTAAAAGTGTTGGCTCTTATATGTGAGGTTCTACTGTATCCCTTAAAAACTCACGTTAATTATAGCGTTAAGAATGAAAACTCGCGAGGCATAATTTTCATGTTTCACTGGTTGTTTTCATATATAAATTGTCTTATGTCATTTTTAAAAATACCTTGATAATTCGTTTCCATAATTTCCTCCATAACCTCGTTGAATTCACCATATCACCCTTTCGTACTGTCCTCTATTACTGGCAAAAACCATAGACTATTTTTTCAGCATTGCCTAAAGAATTACAGTGTCTGTGCTATGAATAATGACATCATTGAATTCCTGGGCCTTTCGCAAGTCGTCCAATATGTTTGCGTAAAGTGATACTCTGAATCTTAAATTTCATCAACCTTTAAGCCACTCCTTGAGACGAGATTTAATGAAGGAGGAGCTTTGAAGCATTGCCATGAACCACAAACCCACACTTTACCTTTCTACCATTGAAAATTCACAAGCCATTGGGAATACGGTATTTGCTCTTGGGAAACCACAGACTAGCGATCTAAATGCATCTTTATATCCGAAAAACAAGTAAGCATTATTTCCTGTCTTTTACAGGTGAAAAAGGAGTACGGGGCTCACAATACATCAACTTTCGAGATAGCAAGCTAACACGACTATTAAAGGTACAGTCACAGCTTTAGCTTTCTTTTTTGCAATGAGATTTTTGCATTAGCCATGTTTTCTAATTTTTGAGGTGGGAGGAAGAGGAGGAGGATGGTTGGAAATGTAAATTTGTAAGAATATTGAAATTTGTCGAAGGTGTTCAAAGATTTTTTGCAAGAATTGCAATGATGACTGTTTTTCTGTTGATCGAATTTGTTGTCCATGGGATATTAGCTAGTTATGTTCCATCGGACGCTCTAAAGTTGTCCTTTTAACATCCTACAATTTGTAACCTACGCTTATTTATTTGTATTTTTGAGAATATTGTTTAATTTGGGAATATGTGATACTTTTTTGTTTATAGGATTCTCTTGGAGGTAATTGTCGGACAGTGATGATTGCTCACATCAGCCCGGCGAGCATGTGTTATGAAGAATCAAAGAACACATTGAATTATGCAGACAGGGCGAAGAATATTAAGCTTAAGGTGATTAAAGTTTATAACATCAATTGCTGTGTGCGTGTGCAGCATTTTTATCTTCTGGAGTAATTAAACGACAGTTATCAGCTGTAATAATGTGAAGGAAACGAAAAGGTGGAAAGTATATGTTAAGATGTTATGACTTAAGAAAAAGGTCTACCGTTGTCGCTGAGAGATACTGCTTTGAAACTCTCAGGTCATTGGATTTTGCAGAGACAGCTATCTCGTCGATAGTAAAGCTTTTTAAGAAAAGATTAGATTACTTTCTTTTGCTATTTCTAAAGAGGCTTCATACCCTACTTCCTGCCTCCCTGAGATCAATTTTGTAAGAATTCTTTTCCTCCCTCACCTTTATTACTGTCACAAGTGAAACAGCTAGTTTGGTATTTCGTGTTAGATATTTTTGTCAATTAAATGAATAAATAAAAGTTCAGACACCCAGCTTTCAAGTAAAGACTTCACTTTACCTAAATGCTTTTGTTTTTTGCAAAGGTCAAAAGAAACCAGTATAACGTGAATTATCACATCGCCCAGTATCAGACGATCATAGCGGAACTGAGACAAGAGGTTCTACGATTAAAAGCCAAATTAGCTGATAGCGAGCTAAAGTCTCATCAAGGTAGGTGCGATCTCATTTTCACATCGCAGACATGTCTGATCTATGCGACAATCGTTTTTGTAAAGTGAATTGTATTCATTTTACAATTTGAAAAGCCTCCTTCCTTTTTATTGCCAGGATCCGTCCAAATCAGGTTTGTTTTTATATGCAGAATTGTAAATGGGTGGTGCACGATTGAAATCCTCGTTGAATAGATTGTTTTTACTGTAGTTTATAATTTATCAACAGGCTCAGCAACATCTGCAACATTTCGTGGCTGCAAGGAATCGAAAGTGCTTGAAAAACTTCGCAGTGAGCTTGTCGAGAGCTTCCAGGAGCAAATGGAAATACGGTAATTCTCTCTAAATTTCAAATGAAAGTAAACATTTAAATGTTGCCAATTAATGATAACTTACTACAAGCTGGACCTTGATGATGTGCATTTTGAATATAAACAGACGTGGATCCAGGTGCCGAAGGCTTGAATCATTGTGTGCTTAGCACTGAAAATACTCACTGTTTACTCACCGTTTTATCGCTGGCATCTCTAATGTAATTTGTCGGTGTATATACAAGCTCTCATCTATATAATATAAAGAGAAGGTATCAATTAGGGTGATCATCTCAATATTACATTTCTTTATGCAAAAGAAAGGCGCTTTGATGCATAGAAAAATGTGAGAGGAAATACTGAATATTTGAGCACAACATCTTTCTTTTCACGTTTCAAGATCTTTAAGATCAGTCATTAGATGTCATCACATAGAAAACAATTTCACGGTGCCCATTTAGGAGGATTTTCAAGTATTTATTGTGTAGCTTTGTGTTACTAAATTTACTATGCTATTCATTTTTACTGGTTACTTTAGCTATAGTTTCAGCATACTTCTCCGTTTAAGGCGGCAGTTAATCGATCTTGAAGATTCTGCGATGCGAATGTCCAGTGAATATTCGCGTCATATGCTGGTTATTGACGAGTAAGTATCCTCTGTCACTACTTTTTTTACGTCACTATGCTTTTGGGTTTGAACTGTATCTTATCATCAATATAAAAAACTGATACCATGCTCAGTATTAGAAAGTATCAAATTCTATTTTAAGTTCTTGCTCCAGTGGATTGATGCATTTTAATACAATATTTTGTGTTGTAGATGGGAGAGAGACAAGGCAAAGAGGCAAGCAAAACTAGAAATAGAACAACTAGCTTCGAATCCAGAACCAAGAAAGAAACCACAGATAGTTAAGAAAAAGGTTTTATATCGAAAAGCAAAACAGGGCACATTTGATGTGGAAAACAAGGACTTAGACACAGAAAAAAATTTACTGCGTTCGTATGACGAGGGCTGGGAACCAGCTGACGTCATCGCTGCTAGAGAAGAAGTGCAGCAGATTTCTCTGAAGGAAAAGGACACGTTTGATCAGAAAAAAGAACTGCAAGATATCTTAGAGGATTTACGCAAAAAACGTGGAGAAATTGAGGATAGTTTACCGAGAAAGATATCTTGTGATGGCCATAGAGAATTGTTAAAGTTATTGTGTAATGTTCATGAACTTGAATTGAAAAATACAGAGCTTGAATCGTTAGCTATGTTGAAAGATCATTTAATGCAGCAAAGTGACTTCAATTTGCAAAAACAGGAGGTTAAGCAAAAGTTATGCGATGAGATCATACAGCTTCAAAGAGCATCGCTAGAAGGTAAGATTCATTAGATCTACGGTTAATATTAATCAATCGAAGGATATTGTAGAGAACAGAAGATGCTTGATCTTGCTAACGAAGGGTAAGTAACAGTTGATTCAATTGTTGTATGGGACACTTCTTATATAGATATGGTCGGTTACATTGTTTTCACAATGGTTTCCTTAATCTGGAAGAGGCTTTCCCATGCCTACATTGCTCTATTTGATTCAATCTTATCTAGAAATCACCCTTTTATCACCAGGGTATGAAAGAGCCAGCCAATGCCAGTGCATAGTCACCTCTCAATTTTGATTTTCAGATTTGAGTTGTAGAAACAAGTTTTTTTCCTTCTGTTTTAGATAATGATATCCAGGCTTCATCTGAGCTTGAAGCACTGTATCAAATCTACCAGCAACAAATATCAGATTCGGATTCAGCGACAAATTATGGTTCGTCAACAGTTCTTCCAAATGTAAGTACAAATGTATTCTTATTCCACGAGCCTCTACTTTCTTGTTTTATACTTAGATGTAAGAATGATTTGTAACTTTCAAAATTGTTATTTGTTTCCTTTAATGACGGTAGGCTCTAGACCAATCACTTTCCATGTTTACATGCCTTTGTTCTTAGGTGAACAAGTGCAGCTAGCATTAGATAGCGTCAGATTTTTGCTTACAGATTGACCAACGTTGGTTGACAGATGGCCTGAGCCACTTTAGTATCTGTCGATTGCCTTTAATTCAGATTTATTTGTTATGAAAGTGAAGCCTTAGTTTTCCGGACCCTTGTCAGGCTATATTGACAACAGTTGTAAGGTAGTGTTCATTTACGACATGCTCTGAGCGCAGGAAAACATTTTCTATGAATTTTATTATCTGTTATTTGAAGCCGACCGTTATTAGAAGTTGTCTATGAATATGTCTATAGAACTTGTTGTTATTCACGATAGTTATTGAGTTCTGGTAGTTATTAAACTATGTCAATATAGGTGAGGTCTTTACCTTTGTTGTGTGGAACAGGATCACTGCCTAACTTTTCTGATGATTGCATTAAGCATGACACCTCTGATTGCAACTGAGAACCACCCTATTGGAAATGCCAAAGCGAGCTACATGTAAATGCCTTTTTCGGCATCGAATACTGTATAACAGATAGATTAGCAGTGATTTTCCTTATGAGAGATTTTTATATTGATTACCTTTGCTCCTTTAGGCTATTGGCGGCAAGAACCAAGATGTCAAATTTGGAAATACGCCAGGTAAAATAATTATAGTTGCAATCGCCATTTTGAATAAGGCAAAATTCAAAACTTAACAGATATTTTAGAGTTTTTTACTAAATATAAGTGTAATTCTGATATGATTGGCAAGCGGCGTAATTTTATAGCAAATTTATCGCAAAAAGCTGTGACATTTTGATGTATATTTTTTAGGCACAAGTTCCGTTCCGTCATTAACAACGGTTATGGAAGATCGATTGTCGAATACGAGACCAGAGGGTAGGAATACAAGGAAGCGCTGGATTGAAAGCGTCTCTGATATCGAGGCTGATGATGGGTGAGCTTAAATTCTTGCAATCTGCTTTCTTCGATAATGCACCCTGAAATGAAAAGTGTTTGATTCTACTTTGTTTTCTATACTGATATTTCTTTAAATTTGAAAAGAACGTCAATGGATGTTAAGTTAGGGTCAGTCGAAAACTCTTTTATCGGAATAAAACTGCGCTTCTGATCTTGTCCTAAGTTTTCCCACTGCAATCTCTACTTGTGAATCTAAGATTTTCGAGAGTCAACCGGCATCTGTCTTAAGTGAAAACTCAAGCCCCAGTCCAGCAATTTTATGCAACCTTTTACATCTAAGTAAAGTATTAGCAATTGAATAAAACATAAAAACGTTGCCATTATGGTAGTAAATATTATTTTGGTAGTAAATATTGCAACAGAAACAGAACAGCTATCTGGCATACTAAAATTAATGAAGGAGCATCGAAAGTATTACAAGAGGGTGCCAAAAACACTCGTGATGTAGCAGATGCTGCTTCTCCTATCACGTTGCCTCTGCAGAAGCGCATGTGGCGTAATAATTATAGCGAAATCGAGGTTAATACGATTCTTGTCTTTCTGACGCAAACATGAATCGTGAGGAGGGTCTCTCTGATTAGCTAATATCTATCTATTTTATGAGATGAAAAACCTATACGTAAATGGAATATCGTATATTGGTGGAATATTGCTGGTCTTGACTGGTTATTTGTATCACGTGACGTTTGCAACATAAGTAGTATTGAAAGGAAAGGATATTACTCGTATCATTGCATTTTTAGGTCACGTCGCGACTTTTCGATGGCAGAGGGAGGACTGGCAAACGGCAAGATTGCAGTGCCATCACTCATACGGCAGGATACTTCAACAACATTCACATTGGATGACGATAGAAGCGCAGGTAAGAGTCAAAAGTCAGGTCATAAATAACGTTTTTACATAGAATACTGCTAGACTAGCTATGGCAAGGACCGTGCCATGTTTTTACTTTACTTTGGTTTGCATGGAGAGAAAGGGACTGGACACAAATCTGCATAACAGGGGCTTCGCTCTTAGTTGAAGCAAAGTGAGAAAATTTTATCACTGTGAACCCCAAATACAATCCGAAACCTAGGTTACATCTTTAATCTCAAGGATAGTTAAAACTTTTGTAATTAACTTTTTACTGAGTGCAGTTACTTATGTGCACTAAATTGTTCGATATTATGTTACCAAAGAGAAGATTAAATAAAAACACACCTTGCATTGGTATTCTTTAGTTTGATTCAACGAATTGGTGAAATGATTTGCTAAGGGGTAAACTGATTTTTTCAAGGGCACAATCCACCAAAATCTCTTATGAAAAATACTGTTTACCGGTCTGTCATTAAGCGCTCGATGCCATATAGGCAGGGCTGTAGGTACTATTTGGTGTATAGAACTGGGCGGTTTTAGGTTACTACTCCGAATTTCATGCTTAATGCGCTCATCAGGTAATGGTTCTTATTAGAATAAGTGGATGAGGAAATAATAACTCATTATTATTGGTGTTTCGTGACGCAATAATTCTGCTTTAGCAGATTGACAAACTATGCAAGTTAGCATTCAAGCCAACAGTCAATTATTTGAACTCTTAAGCCGAACAAAAAGAGTCCAAATCATAGAACATTCGACCAATCGAAGTTGGCCTGAATAGGGATGATTATGAACGAACGAATATCGTTTATTCGAAAAAGTAAAAATCCAGTTATAATGCAGTCCAATTGTTGAACTTTTACTGTAGCTTACGGGATCTCAATTCCTTTTCAGTTGAGGATCTCACTGTAGTAAAACCGCATATAAGGAGACACAGAGCGAAGAAGCAGTCAGTCCATGGTGCAGCGAGTGATAACGAAGTAGTAATAAGGCATCACCGCAAAACGGGAAAAGACACTTACATAGGAAAAACTGCATCAGATATGAAACTGAGAAATAAAAAGTTGATTTCAAAGAGATATGCTCATACTTCTAACAGCATGAATGATTTATCCGCGATTAAAACGCCAAAAAATGACAACAGCAGCACTGAGGATTTGCATAAAATTGATAGCATCGAAGAAAGACAGCAAAGGCCGAGACAGAGGTCAAGCTCACTGGACATGGGAAGAGGTAACTTGTGTCAATTATTGTTTGTTGGTTTTTTTATCAAAAGAGTGATGGCACGAGAAATTTATCTTTTGGCGTCAACAATATTTTTAGAATTTTTGAGCGTGGACTATTTAAGCCGAGAAACATCATGAAATATGTCATAGCTTTTAACTATCTTTGCAGATTTTGCATCTAAATATTTCATGATATTCGGGCTACCCTACATCCTCAAAGTGCCTCCTTTTTTTAATAAGCCCCCATTTTCAAATTAAAAATTGTTATTAACCCCCCACCCTCGAATAAACCTCCCCCCTCCTAACGTGGGTCTTTTACATGATTTTAGCCTATGATAATGCATATATCGGAAAAAGGAAGATGTAAGCAAATGGAGTCTTTTCACAAATTTTTGCTGTCTATACCTTTTTGCAGAATGTTTTGTTTCTCAGCAACTGAACGAACTTCCATTGATTAAACCCTTCATGGGGAATATTCCATGACTCTGTTGAAATCCTAGAAATAATCAGCGGATAGGATTTAATAATCTGAATATCTTTGTAGAAAAACTTCGTCTTCGCATGGCTGCTGTGGAAAAGAAAACACGAAAACAGCTAACGAAAAAACCTAGCGATTCAAACATACCCATACCAAGGCTGAGGCGGAAGAAGATTTCAATGGACGAGTTATCCGTTGTCACTGTCGATTCTAAGATAAACCACAAGCAATCACCCCACCGGGATAAAGGTAACACTGATTTCAAAACCACTTTTAACCGTATTAACCTGGCTATGTATCAATTCTTCCTAACGTGAAAACTGAACATTTTTCAAACGCAATTAGACTGTTATCTTTAGGACTCTCTTCAGTTTGCAATCAGTTTGCAATCAGGATGCTATAATTGTGAACACCTTGGTTTCAAAGAAAATTTGCAATACAACGTCAGACGATGTTAGTCTATACAGGCACGCTACCCAGCCCATGTTTTGGCATTCCTCGACTTAGTAGTAATTCCTTTCGCCTATTTAATAGTTCTGATTCACCTTATGTGCCAATTTTGATTCAACCAATTTTATAATAAAAGCTTATTTGTGCAACCCCTTTCTCGCTTACAGATGATTTTAGGAATATTCCTCACCACGCAACCCCGACGTACGTGTCGCAAACCGGTGCCAACAGTACCCCGACTGCCAGGGCCTCTTTGCATCGCAAACAGCAGAAGGCACTTCATATTGACAGAGTGGCATTTGGTGGGATCATCCCAGTGCAATCAAAACCAAAGCTTAATAGAAAGTCAAAAGAAGGACTTAGCGATAGCTTGGCTGTCAGCGGATTCTCAGTTGTTCCCAAGCAAACGAGGCCAGGCCATAAGCGGTTTTAGTATCAACATGTCTGTTTTAGAGCCTGGACAATCATCAAGAAATAATTTTCTAGCGAAGATAGAGTTATTTGCATATTTTATTTGTGGGTTTCTAATTTCTTTGTATGGCATAGAAGTTTCAAATTCAACGCGCTGACATGAAAAGACAAAACTTTAGTTCCAAGGACAGTGCTTCAAGCTTTAAACCCTTTGTGGTTTCTTTGGTAGCCCAAGGTTTTTTAGCATTTTGAAGATGTCAATTCTTCCAAAGAAGGAATTTAGAAGGAGTTATATATATGTATTGAAAATTACAAGCAAATAAACAAGAAAGGTAATATAAACATCATTAAACTACTTCTACCAATGAAAATACCAATGCTACCCAAGGAAAGCTTTTCATGGCCAAATCTATGCCTCAGAGAATGTTTATAATGCGGGAAAATTCTAATGAAATATTTAATTTTTCTTTCTCTGAATAAATTATTCTATTTTGTATGATGTTCTTCTACATTCTATTTGTATATATCGAGTAGTTGTTACATATTGTGTCTGGAAAGCTGAAGTGGAGTCCAGTGTAGTTTTCACTCAGCGAATTTTCATAGTAATTGTAGATGTAAAGTTAGCTTAAAGCATTTTAAATTTGGTAGAAAACGCACAGAAGAATCAGCTCGTTTGGCAGGCAGCCTGGAAAGGCGCTTGACTAACTCTTGTTGCCATCAGAAATCTTGCTAAATTGTTTTCAGAGCCAAGACCACAGTCTTATCGCAACACATCTCCTTTTGAAAGTATTTCAAAACAAGTATAATGTTTCGCTCTCAGACATGTTTATCTTCAGCACAGTTACACAGGACTTGCAACGAAGCTATTATTCGTCATAAGTTCTATTGTAGGAAGTTTGAATTCGCAAAAGGTTACACGCAGAGTTAATGTTAATAGAATGAAGTTGATTGTTTCTACGTTATGACACAACCATTAAACAGTTTCCTTGACATTTAGTTGCACGCTTAATGAATTTTTTATGATCTGTTAAAATATATTTATAGACTTACTGGATGTACCAATTGAGTGGAATGTCGAATTAAGCACAGTACCTAACATTAATATCAATTTTGGAAGTAGTATTTTTAAGATGATTGTAGTTGACTTTACACAGCAGTTTTGAAGTCATTTTTAGAATTTAATTTTTCTGTTTTTGATTGACCCGAGACTCTGTAAACAATCTTAACATAATGCTAACAATTGCAATGCAAGTTACGTTACTTGCCATTAATTTTGATAAAAAGCAGTAATTTTACTACAGTTTAACGAAAGCTTTGTAGGTTGATAACGAGGTTGATCCAGAACATAAGCCAGATCTCTATTTCTGTCTTTGATCTCAAGTGATATTGCAGACAGATGTTTTGCTCAATGTCTTTCGCAATATGTCACAAAGTATAAGAAACGTGACTTCAATCAGTATATCTGGAGATGCTGGGTCAGGCTAGTAATCACTTTTTTACGTAGAGACCCGGCTGTGAATTTCCTAAGTCTCAGCTAACACAGTTCCCTGTGCCCTGCATGAAATCGCGTGTCAAGCAGTTCTTCAAAATGTTTTACAACCTACGCATCGTAAAACGAAACCAATTCTGCCATGTTTTTAGCCAGAAGGAGCCCATATGTTTAATAAGTCGATTGGTTTTTCAATTAAACAAGTAAATCTTCATATTCTTTGATCTCACCTTTGCAACAAATGAAACAGTAATATTGTACCTAACTCAAACTCCTGTCAATAATTAGTGAAGACACCACATTTCTGTTTAACATACTTTTTATCATGCTCGTTGAGTAACTTTAACATACTTTGAATTTGGTAAGGAGAACCAAAACAAAGAAAATATATGTGCAAAATTAAAGATTTATAGCCTCTTTTTTCAGTTGGTAATTTTAGGGAAAAGTCTCAGAAGCCCATAGCTAAGCTCTTACAAAGGAAAGGGAGGAGGTATTTGGAAGAGAGGGGGAAAGATCAAGCTAGTTTTTTCTCTGGTAGCTTTAGAGAGTCAACTGAGGTGGTTCAAGTGAAAAAAGATCTATAAACTATACAATTTTTTGTATAATGAATTTATTTTAAGTTAGCTGAAGAATTTTTGACGTTATGGTCCACCGAGCCGGATATCGACAGAGTTCTGTCACAGAAGACAGAAGTCTGCCAAAATCGTATCTCAGCTGAGATTTTGATATTTTCCAACGCCCATTTACACTTTATCACATTTTCTCCTCCTTGCGCTGACTAAGGAGAGAAACAAAAGGATGTTTAAAGAAAGGAGAAGCCTTCAAATTCGGACACAGCTTTTGAGTCAAACCAATGAAAACGTGCTGGGTAGCAAGCAAGTGTAGTCCAACAGTTACCTTTCCCCCCTTCAAAGTTGGTTCATGTGTACTGTATGAAATTTCCCAGCACTGTTAGTCAGGACAGGTTGTAAATCAAGAGACTGATCCAGCGTGAACCAGGGCAAATCATTAGACTGGCAAAAACCAGAAGTAATATCTAAAGAAGAAAAGCGTGATTCCAAGTTTTTGCAAAACACTGTCGCCATCTCAACGTTTTCATTAAAAAAAGTGGATTTCTAACAAGTGTGCGCAGGAAACCAACTCAAGTCGGCGATTTTTTTGATGCAATATTTTCTGTCCTTTACTCTTTACTAGGACACAAGAACTAGATACATAAAGTCCATCTATGCTTGGACTAATGGTTCAACTGAGGTATCAGCGTTTTCTGATCGGTCGAAAAAAGACGTAAAGCTCGACATGAAAGATACGCTATTCAGAACAGCACTTGAAATACATTTAAATAAATATCATTCCACCCAAGGATTTAGTTATTCCAGGGCCCGCGCCACAAGGGAGGCCACTTTTCTTGCTGACTATAGGTATGAAATGCCCCTTCTAGGTATTAGATAGGTAACCTCCTTGTTGCTCTCCCCCCCCCCCCCACTTTAGAATCGGTAGCGCAGATCCTGTATTCCGCCCATTCCTCTTAAGCTAAGCAATAAAAGTTTTTGCAGCTATGGATAAGTAATATGCAACAATGAGACGAGTGTTGTGTAATGCATCCTTTCAAGCCATTGCAGTCTGTATAAAACGATGCACGGAACAGTTTAAACAGAAGGCTGAGGAAATTCAAAAGCTTTCTGAAATACAACTTTACTTTCATTCAAAACAAACTAAAAATTCCATTATTACATATCACCCATTGCTTTTTAATTTTCTAGCAAACAATAAGGCCCGCCCCATTAACCCTCAACGGGAGGGGCCAGCAATGTAGAGAAGTATCATTTTGTCCACGCTGTTCTATTTGGGGGATTCGGTTCAATGTATTTGTTGTAATCTAAAGTTTCATTTATATGAATATTTTAAGCTTATTTTAGTTTTTTATTAAGCAAAAAAGTGGTGCGGCAATGGTTCCCTCCACTCCCCCTCGGGCGCGGGCCCTGGCAATTTTGTTTCTAGCTCACATCTGTTCTGGGTTACAGGGGAGCAAGGAGAAAAAAGCAGTTTCGTGGCATCAAAGATGGAGGATGAGGTTATCCACGATTATGCCGTTTACAGTCAACATATAGCAAATCAATCAATATTATCAAACGGTTATGAGGACGCTGAATGGTAAATATCTCGTAAGAAAATTGTCAAGTTTTGTCTTTGTCAACAATAACTTTTCTCAGCTTGAATTTTAGGTCATCCGTTAATTATATAAGGCGAAACTGATCAGCTGAAGAATCTGACTAAGGAAATTGATGAAGTTTATAAATTGCTATTTTTTAGCTTCAGTTTCATGTTTAAACTTGTTGCAATGTCTCCCCACGACTCTTCCTTCTTCCCTAGATTTTCTAAACGTCAGAATTCTCTAGGTACCTTCTTCCTGCTTCCCAGACTCTTATTCAAAACAAAAGTAAACAAGCTTGTTCTCTCTCCCCCCTCACCCCTCTTCCCAAGTCCCTTCTCCTTTCCCTTGATAGGGCTTAGCTTAGCTATTGGCTCCTTGGCCTTTCCCTAACAATACCTACAAAAAAATTGATGCAAAGAGGTTTGTGTAAACACCTTTGTGAATCCTACAATGCTGAATAATGTTGGTTTTTTAGGAAAGATGAAATAACTGAAAAAGATGTAGCTACCCAACCTGATAAAAAAGCAACCCAGCAACCTGTCTGCAGGTATGTTTGACCTTGAAATATCAGAATATAATTGATTAAGTTTAGAATCAATGTCAAATTTATGCAGGATATTTAATTTGGTAATTATTGGAATGCATCAATATAACATTTTGTAAAGGTTGTTAGTAAATATATCAGTGATTTGTATGAAAGTGGCTTAAAGTCATAACACCATCTAAGAATGGCATGATTTTTTGTATAAAAATAAATGAATAAAGTAGCTTAATTATGGACAATCTATTTTTAGAATTTTCCAAATTACAAGGAAAATGAGATGTAAAATTTTCATGCATTTGAAAAGCAGTTTAATCTAGTGAAACTGGCAGAGATATAACTGCAAGAAAACAGGCTCTTTCCCAATCAAGAAAACAGGCATATTTCCCTACTTATGGACAATAAAAGTAAGGTAATTCTTTGGTAGCTTCATCATCTCTTTCACAGCCCATATCTCAGCCAAGTTGTTAACATCAAATGGTATGTCATCACTTAGTACACCCTGTAGTAAAAACCATCTCCCCTAAAAAGTTTCCTAACTGTGCAGGCCCTTTAAAAGTTTGCATGGCTGAAGCATTTTCCTATTTACCAAGATCCCCTTCAAGAAAAGATTTTTGTTCGTAGTAAATCTTAAGTTCCCTCTCAGGCACCACATGAAATTGAATCCCATGCTAGTCCTAGATAGTTTTGCTTCCCTTGCCATGTTTACCTGCTATCCCCTGTGAAGATTGTAAGTTTGCTAGACTTGGGGTGTTTTACCATATTTGTTAGGAAATCAGTTCAAAGAGACTTTTGTCTGTTTTCTAGGCTTTCACTGCTTAGCAGTAATATCCAAGCTGATCTAGAGACATCCCTGCGATATTTCTTGACAAAAAGGCTTGAGAAAATGCACCCATTGGAGGGAAGTGGTAATATTATAGCAATACCTGCAGGGAAAGTTTATGATCAGAATGCTATGGTTTATTTCTATTCCATGGATGAGGAAAGTAGTGAATCTTTATCAGACAATTCAACTGAAGGGCAAAGGTATACCACATCTGCTTATATATTTTTGATATCCAGATAATTTTTTGGTGATTATTATGTCATGAATGCTGTTACAGGTTTTTTTGGCAGAAAATTTTAAAAAATAGCTTATTATACTTTATTTATTATTTTGATGATGTGTTATCATATTTCTTAGCGAATTGCTTGATTTTTTATCCAGAAATAGTGAAGATCCTAAAAGGTCCTTTCTTGTATGCTTTATCGCTGTTATTGAAACAGGCTTGGAATTGTATCCTTTTGTTATGTTCAATAATTTTGTATTAAGAGATGATTTTTCACTTTGCATTCTGTCATTATTTGAGATAAACTGTTGGAAAAACAATGCATTGTGAAAAAATAGGTTAGAGTTGAGTAATATTTTAACAGACCTAAAATCTTGATATTTTTTCATGGTTTTCTATAAATATTCTTATTAATTGTTTGTTAAATCTTGCGAGACAAAGTAACCATTACAATACAAAGTATAAGATGTGTGATCAAGTTAGTGGTTATTTTTTTTCACTAATGTTTTCTTAAATGCCTATAACTATTTGCACAAGGTGGAGAAGTAAAAAATCAAATTTCACTGTGTGGTTACAATCTTAACTTAGACCTCCTAGATTTCAGAATGAGCTGGATAATTATTGCAAGCAGTTGAGTCCATATATTCATAAGTATATGGTATGTAAACCTGATATTTGCATTAATCATATTCTACCTAGGAGGGGGGTGGACAGGAAAAGCACTTTTGCCATATTGTTAATCAGATGACCTTATTTGCAATGTGAACCAATTTGTTGGGAATGAAAAAAATACACATTTTGTGAACTCTGAAGAAACATTTAATGTGCCAATCAATTGATAATGTAAAAAAAGCTATTAATATGCATTTTCCTAATAGTATCAAAATATGTGGTGTCCCAAAAACAACTAAAAAACATGTTTCCTATAAGGAACTGTTTTCAGTGTTTTGAATTTCTTTGGTGTTTAATCATAAGATTGTTTTCAAAATGAGAAAAATATTCAAAAATTATCATGAAACATTTTTGACATATACATCTGCTTTGTTTTTCAGATTTGTGATAAAACATTATTTATAGTGTAATATTTCTTCTGATATTAGTTTTTTACAATTTTAGGAGTCAGTTGATGTTAGTGAATACCTAAAGCGACTGGAGGCATGGTATGATTCAAATGTTGGTACCAAATTTCTTTTAATTTGGTTTTTTCTAATGCCATCCTTTGTCAAATGATATTTGATATGATTGGCATACCTATTGTAAAAATAGTGGTATGCTCTAAATAGATCCCAGTTATTTAAGAAAACTTAAAGCAAATTTTGCATCACAGTTTGCTTAGAGGGCTTTTGTTTTTTACTAATCTTAATTGATCGTAGAGGCCCTGCAGAAGCTAATATTTCTGTTAACAGGCTTAAACTGAAACAACACCTTATTTCTTGGCTAGATATATTATTATAACTTTGATACTATTATCAAAATGTCCGTAAATTGAAATAACTGTTGGTAAAAACTTAACTCTGAGACTGAAAAATATTTAAAATTTAATCAGCCTGTCAGCAAAGCAAGAAAAGAGTCATGAAACTAAACATTTTTTAATATTCTAAATTGAATCTATCTTTGGCCAAACAGACAACCAAGCTTCAACAGTTTGCAAAAGGAGATTGTAACTCAACCATGATAGGATAAAATTTTTTGTTTACGTAGAAAAACAAAGGTTCTTTCATTTTAGAAAAAACTAGAGTACTTCTATTTTATGTATTTGTTAATGAATTTTATGTATTTGTTAATAAAATAAAGAGCAATTTGTCTTTCATATTCTCAAACATCTTTTTCTCACTAACACAATTTTTAACAGATCTGCTACATTCAAAGATGTTTTTCTTATCTCAGTGAGGAATTATCTACCATCTTGTTTACAGTAAGAAACTTTTATTTAATTTTATCTTAAAAGTATTATTTTTGTATTCATCTTACATTGCTAATTTAGATCTTGTGGTCTTTAAAATAACAAGTTGGATAAATGATAAAAAAGGTTGATGATAGAATGGTTAAATGGGTAATCATGCATCTGCGCTTAACATCTGAAGTTTAATTCTTTATCAGATAAACAAATTACAAAGAGATCTATGAGTGCAGACTGTGGGTAGAAGAAATGCAAATATATTTGTGAAATATAAATAGAAATTATGATTAAAGATGCTATAGCTGATTATTAAACCCAGTTGAAGAGTTCTAAGTTTAAAAATACTTCTCTAAGGTTTTGCATTGGATAGATGAAGTGAAGAGGAGAGAATTGATTTTTGCAGAATTAGTTTTTGTCATTGATGGCAGAATTAGTTTGGTAGTTTTCCTGAAACCAATGAAAGAATGGGGTGACAGCTAGCTTAAAGCACATAGTTTCCACTGTCATTGGTCTTTTATGAGTTGAATTTTGATGTTCAGCAAATTGGGCAAGCATAGTGCATCATTTTGTTGTATTAAACCAGTATCATTGTTTGTGGGTAGTGCTAATTGTTTTGGTTGATCAATAAACAATGCAGCAGTATGCTCGAAACAATGAGTGCTGACCTGATGAAGAGTTGTGCTTCAGACGTCACAATAATATTAAACTTTCATCTGCTAAGTCTTATTTTAATAATATCATTTTGTGTTTATCATTCATTTGAAATTTGTGTTTATCATTGGCTGAGCTACATTGATGATTAGACCTAAAAGTATTTGTCTTTATGAGAAATTATCTGGTTTAAAGGACACCTGGGAGATGTTTTTCTTCCTTCTATCGAAAGAAACCCCTCAAACAAGGACTCATTTGGGGCAAAGCTCAAAAGTTTCCCTCAGTCTGATTATATATTATGGTGGGTGCTTGCCCCACCTGCCCCTTTCTATGGCACTCTAGATGCTTCCCAGAATGGCACTGAGCAAAGACCTTTACTCAATGTACTAAAGACTAGACTCTTTGCAGCTAATAGGATGTGTCAAGCAGTCTGAAAATATTGGCAGTTTTGTTTTACTTCATGACAAACCAGCTTTGATGTCGATTCAAGTAAATTCTGTGATCTATAGATGCCTAGGGAATTAATGATTGGCATGGTATTAGACTAAAGATATTTTCTGCTTCTCCTTTTCAGGTATTTGTTGGAGATGAAATTGAGTTGAAAGACCTTCCAGAAGATATTAAACATGATCTTGAAATGTATGTATGTAATTTCCTACTGTTTCAAGGGAGCAATTATTTGACAGGGATACTTATTTGACAGGGCTGTTTATTCAAAGGGGGCACTGATTGATTTTTGATTATTTTTCCAGATTGGAAAGAATGAAAAGAAAACTATATTGTTGAAAAATCAGCTTGATCTAAGCTTTATTTGTAAATCGTCAGAAATAAACTCAAGGACAATAAGAATGTCCATTTTTTCATCTTTGCCATTCTCCTCAACATCCTCACAGTGTCAAACCGCTTGTCAAATCTTTGGCTGTTTTAGGGGATGCTCATTTGAGGGGAGCACACATCTGAATCTGAGGTCTTTACTTCGACGATTTACGGCATATCTATATAAATATATATGTGCATAGAGTTGTTTTTGCTTTCTTAACACGTCCATATCTATCATGATAAATGAAATTAAGTTGGAGTTAATTAAATGAAGGGCTTTTGAGTTTTACTAATTCTCTTATGATAATACTTAATTTGCTATTCGTTTTGGTCTCTTGTTTATGGATCGCTTCCTCGCGTTTTTCTTCTATCTGGTATACTTGTTTATGGGTATTCTGGGAGTCTTTCACCTGAATCAGTGATTTGTAAACTGTAAACTAGGGTAAGGTGTGTGGTTCGAGGCGTTTTCGTTCCCTTGGTTAATCTAGGGGTATTTAAGGTTTTCGCATAGCTTAGGTTTTGTTTTGTTAAACTATAGCATGCGGTTAGTTATCTTCCGTTTTAGAGGTTTTTAAAATTAATTAAAAAATTATTTTACACTTCACTTGTGCGCAACTATTAACGTCATCGTCGGCGTTCACGCCTCGCACAGGCGCAAAATTTTCCTGCCTTGTGTCCTGCCATCGCAAAGTTAAAAATACCGAAGAAACTGATGTATTTTTGCCCTATTTTTAAACACAAGAATGAGATCCCCTTGTACTGGAAGTCTTAATGAAAACTATCTTTCAAACGTTCTAGCCACCCTGTTAGCATTAAAAGTTTTCACAATAGCTGAAAGCTCTACATAGTTACAAAACTTTTATTGCCACACAAAATAAATCGATAATAATAACATAAGCTTACTTCTCCTGCAGCCATGCCAAATTGGTTGTTTTTCTAATCGAATGTATGACCAGGTAGAATTCAGCCTGTAAAGAACGTGTAAATGTGTTCGATTTTTGTTTCATACTTCCTCAGATTTTCGAGTTTGTCGCGTGAAAGGAATGCGATGCTGACGCCATCTGGTACGCGACGTAGCCTGGGTATAGTTGGAATTGGCGCGAATTTTTTCATCGATTTTTTCCAACGTTAGCTCAAATTTAGATGATACAGTACACTCTCGTTAAAGTGGGACCCCGGATAAGTAGGACGCCCGCTATGTAGGACAGATTTTCCCGGCCCCTTGAACTTGCTTACCCTTTTCAAGTATTCGGATAAGTAGGATGCCCGCTAAGTAGTACACTTGGTCGGTCTCTTGAGTGTCCCACTTAAGGAGAGTATACTGTATGTGGGGTGTGGGGTCCATTTTTACAGAACCCCAAGGACTTAAATTGACGGATATTTTTGGGAGGGTGAAACATATTTCCGACTGACAATAAGCCAATTATAATGTTATACTAAAGTTGTGCTAAAACTTTCATTACAGAGCCTTAACCTTTTACAGTTCTATCATTTCCATTCTGAATTGAGAGAATTCTCAGCATTAGCGTTTTGAATATCACTGTCTGGCGTTAAAAACATTGGCGCAAAGCACGGGTTTTATGATTACACCAGCATTTACGCGTCTGTTAACCCCACCAGAAGCAGAGGTTCTAGGAAAGTAGTTGCTCTGTTGTCCCTTCCTCTGATCATTTAAAAACAACCAAGTACAGAAGATGTTAAATCTTCGTGAAAAACAGTCTTCTGGCCCAATTAGCAAACTTTTCAATGACCGGCTATTTATGGCTAACTTTTTCTTTCTAGATTTATTTCTTGCTGTAGTCTATCAGAGCTTTTACAAGACCGGAACCTGAAAGACGACACAGTATGCAATTTTTTTTGATATTCTAATATTTAAGTGGCCAATAATTAACAAACCTCTTGATGTGAATGATTTTAACAGGATTTAATTGTAGACCTTGTTTTCAATGGAAAAGTTTAACTCCATGCATAGAAAGCTGACCTTGCCAATAACAACAAACCCTGGATGCGTAAAACCCCAACCAACCAACCATTGGGTGAAAGGAATACTTCATGTCGCGTGCCCCTTTTTTCCAAAGCCTGTCAAAAAATTCAGCATCTCTGTTTGGGTGACTATAAAAAACCAGCAACAATATATCATTTTCCCCTGGTTTTTCTCAAAGCTGGAAAGTTTTTTAGTGCCAGTCATCAACTAAAAAGATGTGCCTGCAGCATTCAAATGTACTCATGAATTTTCACTAAACAAAGGTACACTGAACAAGGTGTATAAACGGGATGTAACTGAAGTTCGACACAATTTTTGTTATACCAACTATTCCAGTTAATCGTTTCAGATTTTTTCGAATGATTCGGTTTGTAGTATGACTTGCCTATTTTGTTGGTGCTGGGATCTTTGTGTTCTTGGTTTGTCGAGGGGTCATACAAAATCTATCCTGTCCCATTGAAGTCACATATAATGAAATCTATCCTGTTACTTGTCAGCTGAATATAATGATTGATTTTGTCACGACTTTCCATCTCTGAATATAATCTTTGAGTGTTCATCATTTCCTATAGGATCAAGTTGTAGTGGTAGAAGTTGTATTGGAACGTTTAGGGTATTGACAATCATTGCCAAAAATACTTGGAACACCCAGCAATTTGCGTTGTGCTTTTATATTTTTCAATTCTTTTCCCGGATACTCCTATTTTCGCACCTCTCTCCCCCCTAAACAATGTTGATAATTTAGAAAAATAACATAAAAGTCGTAGAAAAAAGTGTTTTTTCTAATCCCCTACGTCGTTTTGTAGTAAACCAACATTATTCAAGAAGGGAGGGGAAATGACTGAATTTGCCCTTGGAAACTGACGCTAGTGTACCAAGACTTTTGGCAGGGATTTTATGTCTGGTTATTCTCTCAAGAAGCATCACAATTAGGGCTTTTTGAACATCATATTTAGCTATGAAATAAAGCTAAATGTTTAATTGCACGTTTTTTATGTTCCATTGCATTGTAATTTTTAGGAGCTGAGTACATCACTTAACAGCCAAAGTACGTTGGCAAATGAAACGTCACTTGTTGTGAAGTATAGTGAAGAAACTCTCGAACTTTCGTCTCAAAGTAAGTCTTTTTTCTGCAGCATGTAAAGAAATGCTTGGTATTTTATAGTGCTATAGGCTGTGATTTTACTCTCTTAGCTTGTTGTTAGTTATTTGTGAAGTGTTACAAATACTTTGTCTGGGTTTGGAGTAACATTTTAAGCTTTACAGACCATTACTGTAAACAAATGGGAAAACTGTCTTTTCTGTCTTAACGTTGCGTTTTGCAGTTACTTGTTTTTACAAAAGACGCACTCTGAAACTATGTTTCCTTGCTTCTTATGCATGAGTTTTATGTGTACTTATCTATCTTATGCAGGAACGAATCCATTTTGCCAAGACTGTGTTAAGTCAATGAGACAACTGGGCCAATGTAACCCATTCAAACTTCGTCAAGTTATCGAGAATTACAAGCTTAAAGTAGGTTGTTGCTCCTTTGCAAAATAGCAAGTTCTTCATTATTCATTCGAGCTTTCTTCTATTTATAATTCTTTACCTCGTCCCTTTAATAATCCTATTGCCATAAACGAAACTGGTTTATGTAAACACCACTGAAAAGGATAAAAGTGAAGTTTTTTTGTATGTCAGCTGCTTCTAAGATCCTAGGAATACCCCATCCACTCGTTTCACCTTCAAGAAGTACAGCCATCTGCACACAAACTTTACCTAACTTGAACACTTCAAGCAGCTTGAAAATGACAATAGAGCGGTTTTGTGATCAAAAACACGTTCAATGGAAATTATACTTAACACGGAGTGACGATTCATCCATTTTCAACTTTTCATTTCACTTGGGCAGTGTAGAATATCTTTAACTAATAAACAAAAAGTTCACAAACAGTCAAAACATTGTACTGGAAGGATGACAGTGTCACACAAAATGTGTTGTTTACATCGAACTATGATAAGGTGGGTCTTTAAGAGAACTCCTTGCGACAGCATCAATAATACATATGATCTCTCTTGCACATAAAATTAGAGAATTTCAATATAACATTGATCTGACTTTGATTCGCCGACCCTCTTTTCCTAAAGCATTGAATTATGGTAAACCTGTCTCTTTTTAAGGGGTCATTCTTTTGGGGTGATCGCTGTAGGTTCCGGTCGCTGTAGTTTCATGCTTTATCAGCAACCATGGTGGTAGTTGGGACTTTGAATTTAGAGGGCCAAACATTTTTTTACCAATCTATAGATAGAAATGACAATATCCAAAACAGCGTACAAAGGTAACACACAAACATATACAAACCAACACAGTCATAGGAGAGAGGATTAAGAGGCAACACGTGCATGTTTTCAAACTCAGTAGATTCTAATTTTTTTCAAGGACTTTCTAAAATATTGAGGGGGCCCAGGCCCCCTCTGCCCCTTCTTGCTAACCCCCTGTCAGCAACCATCGTTGACAACTTGCTATTGACGGAAACTGTTTTGTGAATCAGTGCGAGGTGAGTTAATGTGATAACTGGCACAATCACGACTCAGCATATTTGGATACCGTATTTTCTCTAAAGAACGCCGCCTTTTGATAAACGCCGCCCTCTCTATTGAGCGCCGCACCTTCAGCCAACCATTTGGAAAAAACGCCGCCCTCTGAAAAACATCAACCAACAAGTTCATTAGAAAACACGCCAAAAAGAATTAACGAATAGTTTATAGGCTTACTATTCGAAAGCCATGAGAGTTGTAACGTCATAGAGGACAACTCTGGCGGAGACAAAGATAGTGACATTCCTTGACTTGACATTCTTTTTATCTTTTTTCATCGCATTTTTCTTAAGCCGCATCCAAAATTTGAAGCTTGTAATAAAAGCTGCGGCGCTCTTTAGAGGAAATACGGTAAACCCTTTCCTTTTATCATGACTCAATGCCCCTAAGCAAAAATGCAATCACCAAAGGTGATTTTTTCAGCTCTAATTTTTCATTTAATCTCAACAGAATTCATTTTTGAATGAATATTTTATTAAACTGCAGATATTTTTATTCCTTATCTTAAGATATATGAAAAATGGTTTCATTGCTGAATCATTATCATAGAATAGACATTAAACGAATCATTCAAGAAAAACCTTGATCACATGATAGTTAACTCATATTGGTGGATGATATCTATATTCCTTTTCACCAGCACAATGTTTTCAGCAGTGTGATGTGGAGTTTTCTTTATCTCTCTATAGGTTATTCAAGATATGAACACCTTCAAACGACTAACTAAGCAAGCTGAAACAGACTACTATGCTCTGTACAGGTATGTCTTATCAGCAAATACGTACCTACTATACATAGAAAGCCATATACATAAACAAAGTGAAGAAAAATTGAATGGGTGTTTTTGGGCCAGGTGTATGTTACAATCCTGTAACATATAAGTCTCTTGACAGTTTGATTACTGATTGCTCTTTGGAACAAAGCCAAATTAAGGGCTTGGGATGATTCACCTGCTTTCATTTTTTGTTAAAACAATAAATATTGGTGCTATTAGCCTTCTGAAAACCAAATAATGTCAAATCAAGGGGAATAGTCAATTCATGGAGTCAGTTAAAATGGACCAATGAAACATGCACAAGCTGCTAAAAGATGTTGTTTCAATTTTCGTAATATACCATGAGAGTTCGAAGAGAAAGAGTATCAGGTCCTGTGCAAAGTAACAGTATTCTGACCGTAAACTCAGCAAACAGTATCTATATCTCACTAAATTTTTAATTTGTTTAACTGAATTTGCCTAACTTGAACCTATATCCTGGTGTTCTTTCAGGCCAAGTGATCAACATTTGAAAAATATAGGAAATGTCACATTAAGAACTTTCTTTGCTACCTTATTTGATTGTGCTTATTGCAAAATGGTGCTAGCAATTAGAGGAAAAGGATTAACTTTTCAACGTGAACATGGCCTAGTCTGTTGATTGTGATTATAAGAGGCTTAACAAGCCCATACAAAGGTAGAGCTTATTATTGGGAGTAAAATTAAATTTCACTGAAGTCTTAAATAAGGGTTTTCCCGGCACATTGAAATGTTTACTTTTCACTTGCTAGATATTAGATGCTCAAAACGTCTTGATTCAACAGCATATCTAATTTTTGTACTTATTTAATTTACAATTTCATTGTCTTTATGCTGAAACTCTGTTGTGAGAGTGGAACACTTTAACATTGAACACAGTAATCTCATATCATTCATTGTGCCTTCAATATTTCTTTTCAGGTCATTTGCATTTTTGCTGACATGTGACAACGGCGAAGTTTTACTGAGAAATGCTAAAACTCAATTTGATGAGGAAGACAGTGCCAGTTTCAAAGATGTTTTGAATGTCATTCAAAGATTTGTTGATAATAGAAACGGGTTTGAAAACATTTATAAACAGGAAAGGCAGTCTAAGATTAAATCTCAAAATCTTCTTAGGTTGCTGCACTGCTAATAACGATTCTATGCAATTTCCAATGCTTCCCAAAATTAAATTACCTTTATATAAAGTAATTGTATTTCTATGTTCTGGAAACAAAATCTTGAAAGGAAATTCCAGTATTTAATCTGTTAAATAAAATTATACCATGATGTCAAAAGGTTACATATCACCCTTCTGATTTCAATAACATTCCATAAACAACATTCAGTTAGTATTCAAACTACAAACCACTGTTTGACTGCAATATTAGAACACAGGTCAATTGGAGAAATTTGTTAAACTTTAATCTTAACATCATTCTTGTTTCCAGATTCTACTTACACAGCTAATCAAATAAACAAAATTCTTATGCATAGATAGTTTTGTCAAATATATTTTTTTCAATCTATAATTTGCATGGTACTGAGCCTATAGACCATCTTGAACATTGGATCCCATGACACAAGTGGGGCAAAAGCTGCGATAAAAACAATGGCAGCCTATTTTACCAAGATTTGAAAATTCCTCTGTAGCTCACACAAGGTCCATTGTTAATCAACAAAAATCAGATTTGAATTCTTAAGTATTTTCTATTCTAAAGGAGTTTCACAACCCAAAAAATTAAAGAACAGCCTCTACCCACCATCAATTTTTCACTGTTTCTTCCCACCTGAAGGATTGAACCTAGCTATAAAACCACAGAAATCAATCATAGCTTTGCGAACTCCAAGATGGTCTATTGGCTTGAAATTCTATACTTTCAACATCATCTACGATATCTAATTATAAAATTATGTTTTACATTTTACAATGAGTTCTTTCAAGATGTATCTAGTCCTTTTGATCTCTTTGTTTTATTAGTTACTATTTATGGTCTATGTTTTGTTGTAAAGTAGTCGAAAATTTAGAACAATGCCAGTGGAGATTTCAACTCCCTGTAATACATATTTATTGTCAATTAATTTTACTAAAAGCTCGTTAAATTGGATGTTAATTATCTTTAAAGAGCTGTTAAAGGCCATTTATATTTATAAAATTAAATGTTCAATCATCTTTCAGATTTGTGAATGTATGTTTAGGGCCTGCTGTTTTGGATTTTCATTTGCATTAAAAACTAGAGGAACTCTCCATGAACCAGCGGAACCAGTCTGACAGGCACATAGGCCCTGGCAATCTCTGTCATGTCGCAAGCATCAAGCACCAACAAAAATGATTTCTGTCCTCTGATGCCAAGAACAGATGATAATACCACACCATCATCTTCCTTACTAGCATTTGGGCTTGGTACAAAAACAGGCTCTGATGGGTGACAATTTTCACATTCCCATGACTTGACTTCTTTTGTCTTTACATTAACCTACAAACAAAAATAAAATGAATTTCTGATCAAGTAGTTCAAATACAAAAATGCATAGGCTGTTCAAATCTTATTTCGACTCTTACATGAATCCACCTGATTACTGACAGATGATGTTTGATTATCATAAGAATCCATTACTTCAACCAGAGATGATAATGTCAAATAGAATCTTGTATTTAAGGTCAATGTTTAAAGGCTAATAGAATCCATCTCAATTGTTCAGAATTGCCAAAAAGCTTGGACTTCCAAATGAAGGGCAATTTGTTGATCTGAACACACTGAAATATGAAGGTTGTCATTTGTGACACTTTGGACCAAGGTGTCTTCCTTGTGGAAAACAGGTCAATTGCATATGCAGGCACATGCCTGGTTGTGTGAATAAGGAGGGGCCACGATAGTAGACTGTTTGACAGACTCCAAAGGAATTCTTGCAGCAAAAAATCTATAAAAATATAGCAAATAAGAGCACTGCAATAGGACAAGAACGAACAACATCAAATACATGTAAATTAGTAAAGGCTAATATTTCATCCCGGAACATGTGGCTTCCTCGGAGCAAAGGTGCAATGACTTTGCTACATGCCTGATTGTCTCTGCTTCAAGTTTCTATGTGTACAAGCCTTCAGCTTTTCAGGATGTTCAAGTGTTCAAGTGTTCAGGATGTTGAAAACTTTTATTTATCATGAAATAGTAGGTTATTTGATTAATGATTAACAAGTTTATAGGATTAGAGTAACAATGATTGAGACAGAATTTTTCCTTTCTAAAATTATTATCATGACAGAAAATGGAAGCTTGTTTTTGCACAAGCTGAGTATAAATTTCATGAAAATTGGTTCAATTTACATCCTGCAAATAGTTTTGAGCTAGATGATCTGTTTCGTTGGTTTGGTCAAAACCCACTTTTTCAAAATTGTTCAATTTTCCTCACAGAGGAGCAAGATTTCATTGACAGGCTTCAGACAAATGAAAATAAATGCACCAAAACCAATTTCACGATTTTATTTCTATTCTGCAAATAGATAAAAATATCACTTTTTGGAAACACTGCTTCACAACATTTTTTGGGCTGGAGCCAACAAAATAATAGTGTCAATATGAAAATGAGTCATTTAGCAATTAATATATAGCAAATTGCCACATTTTTAGTCAGTTTTGTTCCAAGCAGGGTTTGATTTAATTGACTGAATTAGCTTGCAAGACTCTTTTGTCATCAGCTCATTTCATTTTGTTTCTATTCATTTTTGATCGAATATACTAAGCTTTGAATTATTACCTTGTGCAAAATGAGCAAACCAGGGGGCTTTGATGAAGATCCCATTCCATATGCATAACTGTAATCTCTTCCATTGTAATCATAATTAATCCTTGGCAGCTCAAATCCCACATGGAGAACCTCATAGTCTTTTCCTTCTGCATCTTTTTCCAGCTCAACTTGTTTTGGTTTCCCAGAGTCAGCTTTAGCTAATGAAAGATGATATCTGCGAAGCTCTGCAGGTTTAATTTTCGTTTCAGCATCTTCCCTCAATTCGCTCAAGTACAATGCTTTCATAACAGACCCATCAGAGTACCCACTCATATCAAGAACCACCTCGGTATCTGTCTCATAAGCATTTATTTGATGAAAGCACATGAATGGGTTAACATTAAATATTGCAAATGGCTTTCCTGATTTGCGTTCAATTAGATGCAGACGAGACTTTATGTTTTCATTGAATTTGAAAAAGTCTACATATGCCCAGTCCATTAGTCTCATAAAGAAAAGGCCAAGTGGATTTGTGAAGAACAATGAACTTTCCATGAATATAAAGTAATTCTCGGTCATACCAAAGCTGTGGTAATAAGCTGGACCTTTGCTGCAGGGAAAGCTAGAAATCATTTCTGCTGATTCATCTGTGGCAGTTTCAAGGTCCTGTTTTGCTGGAACCTTGTAAATCTCGTTTCTGTTTTTCATGTATGAAGTAGAAACGTTGTAGTAAGTACCATCTTCATCGTAATGTGGATGTGCCAGCCAAGACCTGGGACCTGTGTGGAAGAAAACATAGCAACTTCTTTCCACTTTGTTTTACTTATTTTAGATTTGTATCAAAAATAGAAAAATTGTAGCAAGCACTGAAGCATGCAATTAAAACACGTCGTTTTTATTTCCAAAAGTTTGAGATTAATTTATTGGGAATTTCATATTGTGCTATTAAATACCGATCTCCTATATATAATGGGTCTGTAAAGCTTATTGAAGGGGGTTAGTTCTCATAAGGGGGTCGCTTTATCAAGGATTTATGGTAACTGTTCAGATTCAAATCTAACTGGCTTTCTGCCAAATGGAGAAAAAAAACTGCAAGTTTTTATATTATTTTCATGCCCAAATCTGTGACATAAAAATAAGGTAATAGAAACTAGACTCCCTGTTCTACAAAAATTTTTCTTTCATTAGGAAAAACTAGAAAATAATGCTGTGATAAGAGTTTAAGTTTTTATTTTCAAGCAAACTGCCCTATTGTTATTTTATATCTTTCCAGATAATATTTGTAAGATAAAATTGCAGTTTTGGTACCTGAAATTCTTTTTCCAAAGTCAATAGGATCCAATGTTTCCAGAGTGTCTTTGTCAAATTTCCACAATTTTGGTGCTTCAGTGGAAGCATAATGGCCTCCCTTTACCTTAACTATGTTGACATTGCAATTGTCAGTCATTTCTGGCATTTGAAAATATGAGAAAAATCTGGAGAATATATTTTTGCATGGGTCTGGTGGTGGAGTTGTACCAAACTGTGCAAGAACAATGCGGTTGTTCTTCTCAGATTCTTTGTAAGATTTGCTGCGGAGAAAACGGCTTGAGAATTTGACACTACCATCTTTGATAGCGAACCTGTTGAGAATTGCATCACCATCAAACCAATGGTTGTATTTTGTATCACCCCATTCGAATTTTCCGGGTCCAACTCTAAGTAAGGTTCCTTCAACCCAGTTAGGTATTTTCCCTTCAATTTCTGCATCTAAAACATCTGGATGTTCTTCTGTTGTTTGATATATCTCATTTCCAATGGGATTTTCTGTTGTCATTTTTCCTTTTGATGATGGATTAGCTGGGTTAAACTCTCTTGATCTTGAATAAATTTGAAGAATATTTTGATGTTCTGTTACTGCATTTATTTTCTTTGGTAAATTTTTTAAAGAAATCTTTTCAAAAGAATTTATTTCAAATTCATTATACATGCAAATAAACTATCTGAAACTGAAATAGTAAATAATAAATAGTGAATAAATAATAATCATAAGAAAATAAATAATTCTAAGGAAATTTTATATAAATAACATGTCTTATTTGCAAAATCCAGAAAATCTTTAGGAAAAACTCCAGCAGTAGTTTAAAATTTCAGGGATGGCGCGATTGAAGCTGAGGGGGCTGAGAATAAAGTTTAGTGACATAAGAGGACCCACCATGGTTGCATCCGACGTGCAAGGATATTTTTGAAATTCAGCCTTAAGAATGGCTAAAAATTCATCTCCCAGACTATAATTTAACAAATTACTATACTGCTCAGAACAGACAATTCAACAATTCTCTGAAAAACATTGATTATTAGGAAAAATTTGGGAGAGGAGGAGTCATCCTATAAACCCAAGGGGTACTCCCATTATGGCCTGACAGGGGGTCTGGTCAGGGTCAAAGAGGGCCAACGCTTAAATTTTAGAAAATACTCTCAAATGGTAGCATTTTTTGACAAAAACCCTCAAACGGTAGCATAAAAGCCGAAATTATTTCCTTGGTACCCTAGCATCCATTTCTTTGTGCTCCCCTGGTCCTTTCTTGACAAATTTCTTCATAATTGATTGTTGTTGTTTCGGGAAAGATAAATTTTGTTCATTATCTCTATAGCAAATCGCAAGCTAAACTGAGCAGTTGAGTTCTTATCGAAAAAGGGCCATTTGGTAGCCATTTGGTAAGACCCTCAAACGGACTGGAGCCCCCTGGCAGGCAGTCTGCTCATTTTTTTATACTCTTTTTTTAAAAATAGTTAAAAAAGACGGTCAAACTTTTTTATTTTTGAAAAGTGGGGGGACAAGTTGTGAGCACGGCCTTAGAAGAGAACATATTTAATGAAATGGCAGTGCATAATTTGACAATGTCAGTCGAAACATTTTCTCAATGTAAATTATTGATGCTATAATATGTAGAGCAAAAGGATTGCTCCTGAAAATTTCGATCCAGTGAACCAGGAGCACCACACATATTATTATTTCAAGAGTCAACCCAAACCAGACCCTGGCAGATCACTTTTTTCCTTACTACCAAGTGCCAAATAGATGTTTACTCGAATTGTGGCATTTTTTATTAGTTCCTGTTGAGACTTCTTCCTGTTGAGACTTTTCCCTGCTGTTTCTTTTGTTCTTTTGAATGTCACTCTGTTTTTTTATGCAAGAAAATCGTGAGGAAAACCAGAAAAACCAGAAAACCTGTCCTACCCTGACAAGAATAACCGGGAACAAGGGAGTAGACCAAGAGGTGGACCGAATAATAACGTGATGACAATCATCAGAGCGGACGCCCGGAATGCTGGACTAGAAGTTGGCAACACTCGCCCAAGATCGCGAACTATAGAAAAAGGCCCAAAAAGAAGAAAATGAAACAAAAAAAAGCTGATGCCAGAATAAGAAGGCCTGCAAGATTACCACAACCCCCACCCCTGTCATCTAAATATTCATGAAAATTTGCTGCTAGACATTTTAATTGAATGCAAATGAATGAATTAACAAGAATACCTTGCCCTGCCTCTAGGTTCACCCATTGAAATAACAACATATCCTAAACATGAAATATTTTCATATAAAGCAGAACTTCACTCACCTTGCAAAAGCTTTCCAGGACAAACGTTTGAATTTGAGTTGACCGAATGGTTGACGACCGATGCAAAAAGACAATGCTTTGATCTGAAGTAGACCTTGGACTAATCGACCAGAAAACAAAGAACGCACCATGTCCATATCATTATATTATCATTGGTCTACAAAATATCTAAACTTCAAAATTCTAGATTCCTGTCAGGCAAAGTCGGCCACATATTGTACGTAGCTCACAATGGTAAAGCAATTTTTACAAATTCTTGGAAATCGCTTTAGAAAACCGGGGGGAAAAATGAGAGGGTGTAGGAATGATTTGGGGGAGAGACAAAGTGAACATTTGGTTTTTATGGTACTGTAGCAAACGCAACTTTGAAATTTTCCAAAAAACCTGTTCCTCTGTTGTTCTAATACGTTTTACAAGTGACGCCTTGAGCTTTCATACAGTACTGCCAACTCTTTAGTGCGCTGCTACAAAATCTTGAGCAATATAACAAAAGTGTATAATACCCTCATTACTTCAGAGGGACAAGGGGGAGCATTACCACCCGACGAGGGACTTTACCAGGCCAACTTTTCTAGACCAGTTTTTGGTGTGGAATTAAAAAGAAATGTTGATCGGGTGGAAGAGGACGCTTTTCCGAGGTACAGTGGTCTTTGTCCAAAAACTGGGATAACCTGCTGAATGTCCGAAAAAATCAAGTTTTATTTTTCATGCATGTTTTAGCAAAAATATCATCTCAAGTGGACATAGAATAACACTGCGGTCAGCACTGGGGCTTTTGGTTTAGGGAGAGGGATGAAATTAGGATCATCTGGTTTGGAAAAAGGAATTACACTCTTTTTTTATAAGAACCAGTAAATTTGAGTTCAGGCTGATTGTTCTTAAGTTTTCCGAAAATCTGAGGCTGGATTGTTCTTAATTTGTTCTTAAATTTATAGGGTATAAGCAGTGAGATTTCTAGCTTTTCGTTCTGGGGAGGTGTTCAGGCCTCTTTTGCCAACAAAGTGCGTAGAGACAAACTTAATTTGCCGCCATGTTTTAATATTCACCGATAAAGCACCCACACATGGCTAAAAATCCTCGTTTCTGAGATAAAACGTTGTTCAAAATTTCATTTTACAGTAGCTCAGCCTCAGCTTGTTCTTAATTTGTTCTTAAATTTTGACCCATTTTGAGGCTCGTGTTCTTATAAAATTGTTCTTAAAAAAAAGAGTGTATTGAATCAGTTTTGCAAAGGGGGTTTTACCATGGTGAGTTCGTAGGTTGTTGGCAGAAACGTACACGATAAATACGGCAAAAACTGTTCTCCAATGCTCTAATGTTTTACACTTCTTCTAATTAATCAGTTCACGGCTAACGACGACAATGTAATGGCAAACACAATTCTGCAAGCTAGCGACAAGACACACTGAGTTCGACAATCTTACGGCAGAACTCAATCTAACTATAAAACCACCCCTTATATATATATCCAAAGATGAACCTTGAAATTATAATTACGTAATACAGACGCTGATGCAATCACAGTGCAATGATGTAATTGTCACGTGATATTCTCCGTGTGGAGACCCTGTGTCGTAACATATCTCTACAACATTCAAACCTGAAACCATAACAGATTTACATTAGCATCTATTGGCCAAATAATGATGATTTCAAGATCATAAGCTATCATGTCGTTGATTAATCTGCACTGTCACTGAATTTTTCAGTGTCTGTATTCTCTTTATTATCTAGACTTTCATGACATCTGACTGATGCAAAAGTCCTTTTTTATTTCAGCATACACTCATTTCCTTTTTATAAGAAACAAAGGTCGATGCTGGGTACACCAGTTTCTTGTCTATAACTAAGAAATAAATCTAGCATTTGATCACAATTGCCAGATAAAGGTAACAAACCTATTAAATGGAGTACAGTGTGAGCTTTACATTGTGAAGATTTGCAGCATAGCAATTGTAAAAATAACAAAATCTTCAGATACTTATTTTCTTGATTATAGGTATTTACTGTTTGCTAGCAGAAAACACTACTCAGGTCAGACTAACTCAGTAACCATTGAACTAGAACGCCAAAGCCCATTTTGGAGTGAGGAAGAGGGGTGGGGAGTGGCGCTAGACAAGTTGGAAAAAGTTTATGATAGTTAGTCATCACAATATTTGGTCCTACAAACTTGATATCATACTTCGGTAAACAGGTAGGGCGCTACAGCCCCCTTAGCCCCCCGGCTCCCGCGTGCCTGTGACAGGGAATGGCTCACGTAATTTCCGGAACAAAATAGCTCTCTGCCTTTAATTTAGAAAATAATATTTGATAGCCTGTGTATTATAAATTTGCAAATTCTGGAGCATTTACACCAGGAGTGTCCAACTCAACTCTTGGGTGGGCCATAGACAAAAATCTTACTGCGCAGGGGGGGCGAGATGTAAATCAGTTATGTAAATCATCGGCGAATATTGTAATGAACAGTAAATTGATTAGAATTTACAGTTATATGAAAAATTACACAAACAGTTACATGAAAAAGATATTGACTGCACGCGGGAACCCCTGATTTACACCCATCATATATGCATTGCCGACGTGTTGAAAATTTAAATCGGTACACGACTTGGCAGGGTTTGATTACTTTTTTCAAACGTGACTGCTCAAACAAATAAAATTTTATTTTGTAAGTTCAATATAACGAGATACATAATACAACGAGGAAAGCAATACTGTGAAATGAGAATGGCAGGGTGTTTGACAGGCACTGTGGTTTGAAAATGGCTTCATAGACAATAAATGCATTGGTCCGGACTAGAGGCTTATGTATATTGGCTCATAAAGAAAATACCGAAAAGAATGAAAATTCTTTCAACGCGTAAACTTGTCTTCATTTTGAACATGTCCTTAACTAATAAGGAATTCACTTTGTTGGTCTATAGGGCCGATCCTTTGCTCCTAGTACAGTAGGAAAAATATGATTATCAAAGGGGCACCATTGTTTGATAACAATGAGAACAAAAGAGATTTTTCTTAGAAACAAAGGATTACGCTCCCCCCCCCCCTCCAAGAGTAATGTAATAGGTCGTAACGGTAGAGCGTTGAAAAGAGAACACCATTTTCTTCTGTATTCAAATCAAAATTCAATCTCTTCTTATTTCCAATCTCTAGATTTATATACTAATATTAATTATAATTGACATATCACGTGATTGAAGTTTACAATATCATTGGTCCTGTGGCAGCAATGGTAGCGGCCATGCACACCCTAATTTTTTTCATCCAGTTACTAGATATTGTTTGTGAATGTACAGAACTGAAAATTCACATTTTTTAATTTAGATTAGATTGAAATATTTTATATCCTTTTTAGCAAAAACTTATGACCATGCAATATTATATATCACGATAAGAAAATTTTACAGAGCCTTAAGTAATAAACTAATTTTTCGAGATGTTAACGGTCCACGGCAAGGAAGTTATTTATATACAATAGTTGATTTCGATTTAATCGATCAATATAACGTACAAACATATTTTTCCCCTTAGAATTTTTTTATGTAAAAAATTGGCAATTGAAGAAATGTAAGGTACTCTTATGAATGAAAGAAATCAGTGTGGAATAATGGAATCAACTTTGCAGGGACGTATGCTCTCGCAATTTCATTCATCGTCTCGCCATCAAGGATCAGAAGAAAGGAACTTTTATGGAACAAACCAAGCACAGCTGATATAACCACTCCATCGTCTTCTCCTTTTGAATCAGGCGATGGAATGAAAACTGGTTCGGACGGGTAACAGTTGTCTTCTTGCCACTCATAGGCCTGCTTTGTGTCCACATCGATCTGTCAAGTAGTAAATTTTATATCGCGTTGTGATCGATTACAAATATGATCAAATTTGACCTTTAATTGATGATATTTTTTCCATAAATGAAACCTCAAAAAAACGGAGCTACGTTACAAAATACAAGGATTTGATGCCATGTAATATAGATGGAGCTAAATATGGAACCGAGTTCCAAACGTAATAGAATACTCCCCAACTTCAGAAACATAAAAAAATCTCAGAGTTTTCATCTTTCAATTGTACTTGTGATTTTTACAAGTAAAAAAAGAAGCAAACATTGGATACGTACGATTAACACTATGCGTTGGTAATTTTAATATATGGTTTTAACAAGCTTTCATTAGATTAAATTAGCTAGACATTGTACCGTCTTTGAATACAGAAAAAAGTAGCGCATGTGTGCAGAAAAGGGGGCTTGGGGGACCTTTGTTCCCTTTGAAGAAGCTCACAAGGACCTCGTCCCCCTAGAACTTAAACAAATCACTTCAGCAATTTACATAAACAAAATGTTATGCAAATGTGCAATGTTATAGTAAACTATCCCTTCATACTTTCAGTTCTCACTACAGCGCCCTCTTGCCAATTCTAACCTCTGCTCCCATAAGGCTGTTGGGAGACTGCAATTCGAAACTATACCTCGAAAAGTAGGGAATATGACATGCTTGTTTTCAAATGCCACTGGGTAAACATGTGTACCAATTAAAAAGCAACCAAAACATCACACTTTAATTTGCAAACAATTGCCTCAAAATTTGGACATGAAAATGTTAAAATTGAGCGAGAAAAATAAAAACGATGAGAGAGAAAGTTACGATGAAGACCGGTTACTGCTTTGAATTGTTCCCAAAACTTCGAAACAGGAATTTCCCTAATTTTTTTAGAATTATTAGGGTGTAAGTACTTTTTAAACCTAACATAATATTTTACTGAAGAAAAACATTGGATGTACATCAAGCTGACATGCTTTGAAATGACATTAAAGAAGAAAAGCTCTGTCATGAAAGATAAATTTTTAATGAAATGCTTTTACAGTGCCCCTACATTCACCCATTTTTAGGCACGTATTTGAGGTTACACCACGTATTCTTATGAAGTTCTGTTTATAAGGTTAAGAGTGTAACTTTTCCCTGAAATTTATTTGAATGCAAAATTTGAAACATTTTAAAATAATCAACACACCTTCTCTACCAACAATTTTTACAAGGTAGCTCATTTTCTCTACCATAAGACAGAAAGGCATCTTCTTTTTTGGAGTTGTGCCCAAAATTTTGCATTTAAATAGCAAATTTTGTGGTCAGAAGGATCTAAACAACTCTTAAGATTCCTCATGTCTTTGTTGAAGGCTTCTTACATAAAATACAGGCAATAGCATAGATTCTTCATGAAGACCCCCCTGCTTGCATAGAACCGCACAGGATCGTCAGAGTGTAGTTCATATTGAAAAGAGATAGGAATCTGTCATTTTTTGGTACAGCTTCCCAGTCCCTCTCCCTCCTCTTACGATTCTTAAAATTGTTGAACACCAACACAAAATCTTTACAGTTGTAGAAAGCTGCTTTCCCTTTCCCCGCTACAATGTTGCCAATACCAATATTGTAAGGTAACCAGTAAGAATCTTTCCGGCATTAGACACATGAACGTATTTAATGAGGGAGAGGGAAAGGAGAGAAGAATTACCCTGCAACATTGATAAATTTGGGTGATGTAATTTCTAGGGTCGTCAACCTTAACTTGAATATTCTGGTATTCAAACCTTGAAGGTGTATGTCTGGTACCCCGAAGAGGGGAAGGTCAGCCCCTCACAATTTTTCTTTGAAGTCATAAGAACTACAAAATCGATAGTGTTGAAAAATGAGGTGACGTTCCCCCTCTGTGGGGCAATCGTTTCAAAAGAAGTTTTGGTATGAGTTTTAGGGGAAAATATTCCTTACCTTGAGCAGAGTTGTGAGTCCTTTCCTTATGCTCGAATTGCCAACACCATATGTATAGCGATACTTCTTTCCGTTATAATGCTCATAGTTAATCTTAGGCATCTCATAGTTTGGATGTATCAGCTCATAATCCAACCCCATTGAGTCTCTTGGTAGATGCATTCGTAAAGGATTCTCCACGCTGACACCTTTAAGTGGCAAACGATATCTTCTGAGCTGGCCTGGGAATGCATCTTTGGTCTTTCCACTCTTAATGTTACTTAAGTACAGGTTGTCGATGACAGAATCATCTGGATATACTGTTATATCAAATACAACTTCGTCTTCTGTTTCATAGAAATTGACTTGATGGAAGCTAAAGAAGGGGTCGACTTCATAGCTGGCAATCACTTTGCCTGATTTTCTCTCAATCAAATGCAGCCTGTAGTTGGAAAATTTTGGAAAGGGAGTTAATGGAAAAGCATGTATGCTTGCCAATATAATGTTTTTCAGTCAGCTAAGGGCCTTGTGAATCCTTGGCTCAAACAGGTAGCATAGACGTTGGTTAATACAAGCAGATAAGGCTAGTTAATTAAGTGACAGGTTTAAAAAAGAGACTTTTGTTCATTTTTTCGCGCTCTTAGGTTTTAATTCTAGATGTTTGCGTGCTAATATAAAATCATGTATAAAATATATATTGATGAAGCATGTTATCACAAGGTAAAGGCTGACAGGAGGAAAATTCTTTCCACAAGGGTGCTGCCCAATTGTATCGAACCACTCTTGGTCGGAATCGAACTCCAGTTTGCTGCTTCAAAAACCCATGCTCATTCCACTGAGCAAAACACCCCCAATGAAATGAGCGAAGAATCTCCGAAGCCAACACTGGAGATTTCACCGTAGCCAAGACAGTTTTTAGTATCTTCTGTTACGCCTTTAAGCCTTCATCAGAGCCATTTTAACTATTATATGTAGTCATAAGGCAAAGGCTGACAGGAGAAAAATTTGTCAATGAGGGTGCTGCCCAATTGTATCGAGCCACTCGTGGCCGGAATCGAACTATCTATGATACCTATTTATACTAAAGTTTTTTCTTTGATTCTATATTTATATTTATATGTGATTCGGAAGAAGCCTATTGCGAAACGTTAACCAAGTCGTTTTTTACCGATTATTTATGTATATATATACATATATATTAATGCTTATAAGGACACAATTTGTCTATCTGTTGACAATATACGATGTCAAGAATTGTGATATAAAGTTGCTGCAAAAAGAAGAAAATACATTAAACACTGTATAAAAAGCCTTTCAAATGATGTTATTGTTTCTCTATAAATTTTCATTGCCTCGTTGCTCAAATTCATTATTATTGCTAGATAGAAGTGCCATTTTAGTTCGTAGGTATCAAAGATAGAAGGACATTGAAAAAGTGCCTAACCTCGAGTTGACCCTTGGGTCGAATTTCAGCAGATCCCTGTGAGTCTTATTCAAGAGATGCGTGGCAATTTTGTTCAAGCGTTCTGAGTTGAAGTAATTGGTTACGAACAGAGAGCCTTCAATGAATAGGAAATGCCGCTCACTCATCCCGAAACAATGGAAGTAGCTTGGACGGTGACTGAATGGCAGCGATGCCACGACTTCGATGCCATCTAAAGCATCACCGTTGAAATTACCTGCTGCAGGGATGCGGACAAATTCATAAACGTTGTTGTCATATGAAGCTGAGCAGTTGTAGTAATCTCCATTCTGCGCGAAATGAGGATGCGATGTCCAAGAACGCACCCCTATTTAACGAGAGAAATATGCAAACATTCATTGTCCCATGCCTTAAAAGTATCTTATAGGACCTGCCAAAGAAACCTTACTTGCCAATTGTCACTGTTTCTATCAAAGTTACACATAAATTTTTCAATATGATTAAAATACTACGTTTATTGGTATTAGAATAACCCTCTGTAACGATGTTATCATTTTTCCATTCTATTTCAAAATTACCACAAAATGTCCATTTATTGATCTGGACCCAATCTAGCAACATCTGTAATTCCAAACTTATTGTACTGTTGCCTTTCTTCTGCATTCCTATTTCCCGGACGCCTGCATGGCTTGCCAAAGGGAGATGCAAAGGACGCTGCACACAACTTCTTGGTTAGTTGTTTTAGTTAGCTTAAAACGAACACTTGGAATTAATGGGTCCTAAAGAGGTAGTGGTACCAGTTTCGAGCCAAGAGCTTCTTTTTAGGACAGCTTGTGATAGCCTTGCAGCTATAGGCTGCTATGACTTCGACGTCATCAATGTAAGGGGCGAACAGGGGGTGTGACACCCCCAAATTTTCATGAGTTGGTCAGTAAATCTTCAGTTGGTTCACAAAATCATTAGTTTTTAAGTAAAATTCTGTATCGGTAGGTGAAAAAATGTTTGTTCATTTATATCTTCGTCGGTAACTAGGTGAGCCTCCACCCCCTAGTCTGGAAGGTCAAGCTACGTCACTGATCACTGAAAATACTTGCATAGTGATATCTATGATGCATAAGAATGAAATAGAAAGAATATCATCAGACTTTACCAGGCAAGCGTCTAGAAATATCAACTGAAGCCCGGCAATCCAAAGTGTTAGCGTCTATCTCCCAAAGCGTGGTGATGTCACCTGTTGCATAAAACCTTTCCTTGGCTTTCACAACATTCACATTGCAATTGTCTCTGGATTCGATAGGGCTGAAAAAATATGACATGAATCTTTGGAAGATGTTTTGGCAAGGATCAGGCGGAGCATTTGTTGCAAAATCTGAAATTGTTATTGCATTTTTCTTCTGTGATTCCACATAAGAGGCGGACCGGAGAAATTTTGAAGAAAATTCAACGCCCCCGTTTGAAATGTGGAATCGATTGAGAATTGCATCACCCTCGAACCAATGGTTGTATGAGCTGCTGCCCCACTTGTATTTACCAGGACCGGCTCTGAAGAAGTCCCCTGAAATCCATTCTGGAACCGTGCCATGAATATCAGCGGAAACAGCTGTTGGGTGCTCTTCTACTTCAAGAAATATTTCTTGTCCATAATTGTCTGTCTGTGCCATTTTCTTGCTCTCTATTCTTGGTACAAAATCATTCAGTTTAAGTACTTTCACCATGAAACTCCATTAACAGAATTCTTGCCTTGCCTTCTCGTATGCCTGTAAAAATGCACACGCAAGTATGAGTTATATTACATTTTGGACCGCAAATGTTAAACAAAATGACAATGAACTAAGAAAGACTCCAAAAACAACATATATCAAAACAGCCGCATCACTTAGAAACAAGAGTAACCAATGTCGATAAGTACAGATTTAATACGTTATTCGGCTAGAATTGGTGCTTTTATTATACACATTAGGGGTGTAGGTTTGAATTTAAGAAAGGGCAAAGAATGATGCGAATCCCACCAAAAGGCCTACTTTTTAAGTGCCATCATAAGTTTAGATACGGATCTAGGGGCGTGAAGGATCCTCTTCGAAGGAACCTCGAAGGAGCCAATTTATCATGTACATTTTCCTTCCAATAAAAAAGATGCAGCTTAAGTCAAAAGAGGCGAGGCCGCCACTCGCACCTAACGATCCCCCTTACGTTGAAAATACGGACATTTGGAACATCACATATATCGATCCCTACCAAGACAAGCAGGGGCCCAGTCTGGAGAGGTTCCAAATGGTCCCAAATGCAGTCCCAAAGCAAACGAATCACACAGTTTTTTGTAGCAAAGCATTGGTTCTAATTCTTGATTGGCTGATAGATCTAAATTCTCCATACCATATTCACAAATCAGAATTCAAGAAAATGACAACAAACTAGCCTTACAGAAATTTTGCACAATTTTACTTACACAAACAAACAAAAATGTTTAAAAGGTTCTGAAAGATAGCCTATTTATATTTCGAGCAATCGATTCTTTGACAAATTTCCATGCAGTTTCATTATTTTCTGCGATGATTGGTTACGATGGCTTGAACTGGGTGTTCCCCACCATTTTGAATAGGGGAAGGGTGTACGGGAAACTAAGAGTTTTGAAATGTTAAAACTTGTTAAATTCAAATAATCAACAAATATGAACTCACATTTAAAAATTAATGTTGCACAAATTACTAATTTATATATAATTTTTACATGTCAGCATAGAGGCTTGTGTGGCAGACGTAAAAACGCAATATTTCGTAAAAAAACGAACAGCAACAATGAGCTCACTAAACTCTGTGTGTTAATACAAATACTTACTTTTGCGCTCAGGTACTTTATATAGTTTTCCTAAGACTAGCAGATTGACGAGAAGCCCATGTCCACTGTTTGTTAACTCTGTAGCCACGGAATATTTTTGTAAATTCGCAGACTACTTAATGGAATGGAAAGAAATATTGTTGGGAGGACAAACGAGTGAAAATCTTCAATTGTTTACCGTGTCGTCAAAGTGCATGCGCAATAACTCGTTAATTGCGCATGCTTTTTGACGACAGGATGGAAGGTTGCCTCAAGAGTTTCTACTGTTCGTCTCCCCACCAACATATATCTAACGAACGTCATTAGACTGAAAATTTATCTTTACCTTTTACTGCTTATTCAGTTTCAAGACCACAATAGATTGATGGGACGTAACATATCTAATTGAAAAACGCTAGCGGGCGCCAAAGGTCCTTGAGGGGCTGCCAGAGCTAAATAAAATTTTTGAAAATTATTAGCCCATGGCATATGTATTGGCAGGCATTTCCCAAATATGCAATCACGTTGCTGCTGGTCTTTTTCGCATTGAAGCAGCCATAAGAATGAGACTTTCAGATCCATATTTTATCAGAATTCAACTTGACACTCGGAGAAGGGGGTAATGGAGGTGAGCATTGGCAATCATTCTTTGTCAGCATTCAAGAATGTCGCAAACCTGTTTTCTCCAAAGTTTTAGCCGGTAGTTGCTATTTCTGCAGGAAACAACGGAGCAATTACCACGGACCACATTTCAAACCGGCCTAACCCTACGTAGTCTGTTAATGCACAATACTTGACTGAAGCTTTTAGAAAAAGCTTTTAATCTTGAGATAACAGACTCGAACAGTGGATAGTCGCTAGTAAACACTGTATCTATATGTAAACAGAGGCCCTTGGCAACATTTTCACCCAGTTTCTCGCGAGGGGCAATTCACTCTTGCAAAAAGCGTACGAGATTTTCCCTAAAACAAAAGGATTTCTGGTGATTTCCAGATAAAACAATAGGATTTCCACCAAAGGTGTACGAGATTTTTTGGAGTGATTTGCCCCTCGGTTTCTCGCCCCAGCAAATTTATGCAAATTAAATGCGCGAATATCGCAAAAGTGTACAGGCCCCCAATATTATGCTATAGATTTTCTTTGAACGACCAGATTCCTATCAGGCTTTTGGAGTCGGTGAATAGTTTGGTTATACACATATACACAACTGAATTACTCTAAGAAAATCTCGTACACCTTTTGTGAAAATCCTATTGTTTTATCTGAAAATCCCCAGAAATCCTTTTGTTCTAAGCAAAATCTCGTACGCCATTTGCAAGATTGAATCGCCCCTCGGGCTCAGCGTGAGTGAATATGTTACGTAACACGAAACAGGCCTAAATTGCACTGGATCGTTGGGAGCGTGATGCATTTCCAGCACTTGACAGGGCCAAATCATGGTTGGCAGTTGGCGTTGTCAATGTCTTATCTTCAAATTGCCTAAACAGGATCGTAGAATTGTAATATTCATATTGATCGGGCAGTCAGACCGTTAATTACACTGTTTTTCAGAATCCAGCTTCTGTTCCTACATTTCATTTCAATGGAAGTTGTTGCTGCAGGGGATTGTTTTCATTGCAGCAGCATCCCAGTCGAATCTCATGAAATATCCAAATATTCAAAACGTACAAACTCGCAACCCAGCAGTTTAGACTAATTCAACACGAAGCTTTCAGACTGAGGTCCATTATTGAAAAAAGTCTTTGTGGATCAAAGGTGCAAAATGGAAAAAGGATATGTGGAAGAAGGTGCAAAGTCGCTAACGTCAACCCAACCCGAAACACAAAATGCAATTTACCTGTATAACCTTGCACAATCACCACACTGCTTTACTCGCGAAGCTATCAATATACTTGATCCAAAGTCAAGATCCTGCGTGCACAAGCTTCACCAACCGACTGGAATTGATACTCGTGATGGATCATTCTAATACAAGAAAATAATGCCCTGCGGTTAGCAATTCTTTCATAGCAGATCAGGTTTGCATTGTGCCATGCACCTCAATGCAACCGGCTTAAGGCATTCTGTGCTCATGCATTCTGTGCTCAGGCAGTCCCAGACGGTTTCCAGACAACCGGAGCGAATCCAGATAGCGCTTTTGTCCTGCGACCTGGCTTTTGAACCCGACCCGATGGAATCCGTGAAGCAGAATTCCAAACAAGTCCCATTGTTAATACTTTTGTTTCAAGCAGAGTCAGGGATTTCAGTGGGCCTGGGAACGATTATGCCAAACATATTTCAAATGGTTGCGAAATTTGGCATGATGACATTATGATATTGGCATAATGACATCATGTTTTAATTTTACGCTTGTGTAGAAAATGAAATCTGTTCTGAAATGTTTATATAATAAAACAATGTCACTCAATAACAACAGTAGTAGAGATTTATTCCTCATAAGTCAAGATAGTCATTATTTGTTTCTTCATCATTTTAAGCATACATGCTAATATAATGTTAGAACATAAAAAGGTTGGTAACTTAAATAGGCAAAGGACTGGCGTCCCAAAAAATTGTACCAGTACGAGTGTATGTGAAAGTCATCGCCTCCCGCCCCCCCCGCCCCCCCGGCAAAAAGTATGATAAGGTCATTTTCTGCAAAGGCCCCTCTTGTTATTTTGATAGCACTACACTACTAAGCACGACACATAAAGAAACACGACAACGGTTTGAAAGACTGTCGCAAACTGATTCGAATAAAAAATCTGCTAACAAAAAGCTCTACGTGAATCGATTTTTCATCACAATTTTATTGATGCAGTTTCATATGACAGTAGCGATTGGCAGGAAGTTTTTCTCTATGTTTGACGGAACTGTTGTGCAGTTTCCAAATGTGCTTGTTCAAGACTTGCAACCACCTCACCTCTTGCAACGTTATTGTTAGAAAATTGGGAGACAAATTGTCCAATTTTTCAAGAGCCCACAACAAGTGGCCTCAGAAAGCCGTTGCCATAGAGCGATAGAGCTTGATGACCTACGATACTTGTCAGGGTACATTGAGCACAAGTTTTTGAAAAAATCTGAATGTCACTTCAACCAATTACAAGTGTGACATAAAACAAGCTATAACTAGGTTGCTAGAGAGCCAGTGGTGGAGCCACGAGGGGTATGGGGGGACTAGTCCCACCACTTTTTTAGAAAGTTGGTCCTTGAGATTCTTGCAAACCTGATGAGAAAACTTCGGGGAGGGGGGTATGTACGTTAACTGGATCGTCACCATTAAATGACAAAAGGTGTTTCCTCAGGAAGAAAATGTTTCAGACAGGGAAAAAGGGAATCAGGGGCGAACCAGGATAAGCTTGATGACGACGCATGCGTAACACAAGAAAGGCGAGAAAAAGCAAATAGAAACAAACTGGCTGTGGTCAATGTGTGTGTATATTGTTTGTGAATTCTACAGAATTCAATAATTTGACTTTGATACCAATTATTGCAATCGCAGGCTTCAAGGGATCTACAACGTACAAACTAGTTGGGAATTTCCCAACCAGGCCCTTAAATTTCCCCACTAGTTGGCCCATGATTCCCCATTAGCAAGTGCCCTTTTGTTGAAAATTGTTTTTAAAACCAATTTGAGGTGTCTCAAATTATTGTTTGCTATGCTGTTGTCGTTGTTTCTATAGGCATAAAAGGTAAAAACTGAAAAACCAATGTGTGAATAAAAGTGTAAAATCGAAAATGGAAAAATGAGACAAAAGGAGATAACGAGTAGTCATTTCCACCTGGTTACAGCTTCAGACTCAGATGGGGGGGGGGGGGGTGGGGTGGTCGTGTGCCCATTGTATGTTTTGAGTAGCTAGCTTGTAAATGGGCAGAAAAATGATAAAAAAGCAACTCATCAGCCAGAAACCCACGAGGGACATTTCGGGGCTTTAATTCGGTATGTCAATTTCTCGTAGGCGCC